AAATAATGATGGCAATTAAAATCACCAAGAATTAAAAATGGTTTGGGTAACGAGGCTATTAAAGATTTTTATCTGCGAAACGTATGGACAGACGGGGAGGGAACATAAATAGAAACGAATGTAATATTTTGAATTCTTACTGATACAATATTAAAGTCAAATATTTCATCATAAATATCTACAATGGTATAAGCGATATTATTCTTTATAAGCAAAGCACATCCGGCATAACCATCAGATCCGTCATTTCTAACACAACAAAAACCAGGGATTCTGATGTTGGAATCCGGTTTCAGCCATGTCTCTGAAATAGCAGCGATACAAACATTGTATTTTTTTTAATAAATAAATTATTTCAGTATGTTTATCTAAAATGCTTCTACAATTCCATTGAAGGATCTTTGTGAGAGTGAATGTCATAAAGAATTTCAGGTATAGAATTTAGTAAGCGGGCAACGTGGGACGGTAACTTACGAAGATATGATTATGTTAATAAGGGAATTTATAATGCTTTCTATAGAATTAAAACTATCCTGTGTAGTATCAGGAGAAACCCGAAGAGCACAACCATCCTCTGGTTGTGAAATTGAAAAATCTTCAATAATGTTTTGATGAATTTTTTTGTCGTATCCTATTTGTGAATGATGACGGAATGATTTAGGAATAAATAATGATTTCTTATAAGAAGTTTTATTAGATGAACCAGGATGTGAAAGAAAATGAAAGAAATGAAAGAAAAAACATTTTTGTACTATCAAATAGTTTATTTTATTTCAATCGGTCTCAATATTTACATGTCATTATACAGTTATAAATACTTATGAGATAGATCACAGCACTTGAGTTGTTGAATCAACCATATAGTCACTAGAGCAATCTAATATTATCATAAAATTTCTGCTCTTCACGACAAGTGTACAGTTATCTATAGTAGTAATGTATACAGCCTACACATGTCCAAATGCTAGCCACAGACCTCTCAATTCTGGTAGGGTTATTGAACACTTAGGCCGGCCATATAAATACGAAAGTCCGTTTCGGAATTCCGAACGGGTCGGCCACACACATACGGAATACTCTTTTGCCTGCAAAATTTCGAACGGAAAGCGACTGTACGTGTGTGGCGAGTCATTGATTTTATAATGAATTCCTGCTTTCGGAATCCCGAATTAGAATTCCGTTTCGGAATTCCGTATGTATGTGGTCGGCCTTAGATGCATATTGGCAGACTTCACATTTCCTCGAAACATTTGTCTCACGATGTGTTTCCTTACCGAGGAATATCATTTATATTTTATCAACAGTCGTTTTGACGATTGACACGGGCCTTATTTCTCAATTCATTTAATAGTATGCAAAAGTTCGTTCTCCACCAGCACCCCTGGAAGTTTCTAATTAGTGGATTACACAGCTTTCCGTATATCTGTGAAAAGATATTTACCGCGCCACACGTATGCAAACCGCAGCGAACTGCTCTGAAACCAGTCTTACTAAATACTCAACGAAGTATGAAAGCATTAGAGGCACATCGTGAGGAAACCTGCGTGTACAAAAATATTTCAAGAGGTCTAGCCCAGGCAGAGCGAACATCCTTCACTACTTGCTAATAGTGTTTAATTAACGTAATAAAAATCTAAAAATTAAAAAAAAAGTGAACATTTGTTACGACTTTTCAGTATTCGTGTTTTACTGTTATTTTTGTAAAATTTTCTTCTTAAAGTACATATTTTCTAGTAGAAAAACTGATAATTGTATCGAATTGTTGTCATTCATTTTGATTCATTGTTCAAGGGTTATGGCGCGTCTCCACCAAAGTTTTCAACATTTGTCAACACGTGTTGCCGACAAATGTTTCTGTAATCACCTAGTTTTAGCAACAAAACGAAACAATGTCGGGAATCGTGTTTCCATTTTCGGCGGCAACATCAAAGGAATACGCTTGTTGCCGACATTTGTTCCTTGGTGGAGACGCTTCTTGCAACATTTTGAAACAAATGTCGTCAACTTTTGTTGATTTGTCAACAGTCGGAAACATAAATGTTGTCAACATTTTTGGTGAAGACGCGCCTTAAAGTATAATATCCGTCTAGAGTGCAAAACATCAATCTTCTACAAGTAAAAGATTCCAAGAATTATTGACTGAACAAATTCAAAGTCCCTAGAAACAATGTCGATGAAACTGGCATCTAAAATAAATCCTTCAAGGTTTTTTCAGCAAAATTTAAAAACACGTAGGTGTAATTTCTAGAATGAAACGGGGAAACTGCAACAATCTCGTGTTGCTGCAATACTTTCGGATAACTCGTACCACCATTCTTAATATATGCTTGTAAAAAGATGCAATATCGCCTGTTAGATAGTTCTCTTCCGGTGACTCAAGGATCTTGCTCATTCTCCATATAGATATAGGGATATTATTACAATAGCTTGGATTTTGTTAGCCGTGTACATCCTACTGAAGAGAAATTCCCTTGAGAAGTAGTTATGTATGGTTTTTTAAACATCTAGTGTTTGGGCAACCAATAAAGATGTATGAGGAGAAGAAGAATGTGCACCATTAACATCAAGTATTCTTCGACATCAGGGCTCAAAAGACAATTTCGCCAGAGTAAAAATTTGAGAACTCATCGACTGCAATTTTAAGTGAAGATGATATTGAAAGTCTACAATAATAAGACCAAAAAGTACCGAGCAAGTGAATGTAGCAACCAAACAGTTTAAAATAAATCATCAAACAATGTTCGCTTTACTCGGACTTCCCCTACCCTTTCAGTAATGAGAGACCACTGCACAGCCGCGATTATCTTTAAAGTGCTTAATTTATTATTGCTTATTATTTATTATTACACGAATTAATGTTAAATAATATCTCTACGAGGCTAAAATAAGAATTATTTACTTTAATTTATTATTTAGAGATGGTATTCTTATTCTAAACATTAACGCTCAGTCGCAGCCCTAAAGCGTAAATATTTATTAAATATTTTTTTGTTAAAAAAATATCTTAATTTTAAAGAAAAAGATATTTTTAAGTGAAAGTTCTAACACGAAATATTTTAAAGTGTAATACCATAATATTTATATCATCCAGAACTAATTTTGATCTTAACGAAGACCAGCTATGTGCGGAAAACAAGATTAAAGTCCAATAGTGTGAACGTTTTACTCTATTCTATTAATCATGTCATTGGTTCAAATATAAGTAACCATGGCCTTCCAAAAGTGGCAAGTGCTAAAAACTAGAACTATCGATACGACACGTGTGCAACTCTAGTGCGTATCCGATTTAAAACAGTTTTGGCGGGTACGTACCGTACTTCATTGTAATTTTGTTATAATTATGGTACGAAGTGGATTTTGATTGCGTAAAATGGTGCGATTTTGTGTACTGCACATGCGAAGTATTAGTGGTAACGATGAAACAGGACCGGATGAACATGGTGAGTTAAGCCTCAAGTTATTTTACACTTAGGCGCCTTGAGAACTTGGGATAGTATCGTCATTGATTGTCTGCTGGCTTAAGCCTACATCAAAATTTCTCAAAATTATCACAATTTGACGCAAGAACATATTATGAAGAAAATTTTTAACATATTGTTGCGCGCCACCATTAATAACTGGTACATGGCGACACTAGTTACCACTAGCGCCTTCTAGTATCGAATAGCAGAACTAGGAGAGTCAAGATCCTTCTAGAAATTTCCATGGAAGAACTTTCTAGAACCATCGACACCTAATCAATCGGGACCGGTATGTACTAGAACATTCTAGATGTTTTTACAGTAGAAGATTTTGGAACTATTTGAGGCCCTATATAAGGCCGGTATAGACTGCGACTGGTGTCAGTGTTGAGTTGGCAATACAAGCGAATACTTCGAAGCGATACAACTGCGAACTAAAGTGATCAGTAGTACAATTGTGTTTTTATTAGTGTGGGTTTAAGTTGTAATTAGTGTCCTGTAATTAAAGTGTCAATTTTGGTAATTTACTCGGCAGTTTTATTTAGCAAGCTCGTAACAATATTATTTATATTTAATAAAAGAATTACATTTGTTTTTTTTGTTGAAGTTTATGTAGCCATTAACACAATAAATTAAAAAAAAAACGATTTAAAAATGCAAATTACGAACAGCGGCTGCCACGAGCGTTGTTGTTTAGATAAAATATTGTTTTTTTTTTATATTAGTTTAATATTATGTACAAACATTCGATGTGTCATTTTTGAATAGGCACGACTGTGAGCAAGTTTTAAAATTATTTATTATACAATGATAATATGATTTAATAAATAACAAAATTATAACTGTAACAGATGACATTTTTAATGATTGAAGTAATGGGACAATTCACATATTACATTAAAATATTTAAATGTCTTTAAAATATAAAATTATATGACTATGTTACATTTTGTACGGTTGTGCGGAAAGCTGTCATTAATACAAATAAAAAACATATTATCTATAATTATAATTTATAACAGAATATAAAAAAATATTAAATTCCAAAATAGTCAATACAACTTTATAAAATAAAAATAAGTTACAAGATTTTCTGTTATAAGTACATAAATTAATTTATTAACTAAATAAGAACATTTATTTAATTTTTCGTACAATATGATAAATAGCATTATGTATATGGTAAATATAAAGCATTTTTTTTATTCTAGCACATGTTTTAAAGATATTTTATGTTTTTAAAGTTATATTGAAGTCATAGGTAAAAGGCTTTTGGTGAGTGAAGTGGGACATTTTGAGATGATTGAAAAAACAGCGCGATTAATGGAACAAAAATTTGAGTTGAAGTCAACTAATACATTTAAAAAAAATGCCAATAATATGTTTGATACGTGAAATGAAAAAATTGGTTAAGTTATAAATATTTTAGTTTAATTTTAATTTATACGGGATGTTGTTTGTCGAAGCGGAATTATTATCGATTTGACAAGCAACATCTGCGTTGTTTGTAGTTGAAGAGTGTTCGTTGACGTGTGGTCGCTAGAGGATCTTGTCGTGGTTGGGGGCGGCGGGAGGCAGGGCGGGCGGCAGGCGGCGGACGGCGCGCACCGCCGCGTAGCCGAGCGCGGCGCCGGCGAGCGCGGCGGCGGCGGCCGCCTTGGCGCCGGCCAGCAGGCCCAGCGGCCCGCCGCACGCCGCGCCCGCGCACGCGCCGCACAGCGCCGCCGCGCCCGCGCCCAGCCTGCGCCACATGCCGCGGTCAAACAACGCTTAGGCTCGCCACATACATACGGAATTCCGTTTCGAGATTCCGTTTCGGAATTCCGAATGGTCGGCCACACACAAACGGAATCCCGTTTTGCCCGCAAAATATCGAACGGAAAACTACCGTACGTGTGTGGCGGGTCATAGATTTTATATGGACTTGCTACGTTCGGGATTCCGAATCGGAATATCGAAACGGAATCTCGAAACGGAATTCCGTATGTATGTGGCCGGCCTTACACACTCGCCCACCGCACACGAACTACCACCACTACATGTAACGCCTTCTTGTTCGATGTTCTCGCTCGCACCGAGTACTAGACTGTTCTCCACTTGATGTCGACTTTTGACACGAGTAAAAGGAATGCTCGTGTGTATTCGTATTCGTGTCGCCGCTTACATACTCATCATCATTCGTTCGTAGGGTTGCCACCCGTACTTTACAATATATTGTTATACGCTGTTTCGAGCAAATGCACTTTATAATTTTATGAGACCAATAAACTACGTCAAAATACTTTACCAATATTTACGACTTTCAAACCTATATCTCAATATTTACTAAAATAATAAATTGTATACATACATTAGTTAAATATGTCAATGACACAACGAGTTATATAAAAATAAGATATATACGCAAGGAAATAAATTTAACACTTTTCAGTTCAATCCGCTTTACAAAATATTTTTCTGTGCAGTATGTATTGACTTTATACTTTAATTCAAAATCATATCATCTCTGCTACCCATCCCATCACTTCAACATTATTAACCGTAGCAAACTTTTAAACTCCACTACCAAACATAAATCTCGTTATAGATTACCTCAAAGGAGAAAAAGGATATTAGTCATAACTACCACGCTTGGCAAGTGAGTTGGCAACCGCATTTTTTTTAACTTTTAGTAGTAATTAAGACAACCGCTTTCCGCCCCCTAATTTTTTCCCTCTTTCACCTCTTACGACACCCACAAAAGGATATAGACTTACACCGCCACTACACTATATATTCAATGTTATTTACAAAGTTAATTCTTAAATGAGGAGAGGAGATAAAAAAAACAGTGTTATCTTAACTTAGATATAGAATGTAGGTAAATATAATGTGTGAAAAAACATATGACAATAACATGTCGAATAAATAATACTTTATTTTTACTTGTCGTACTTACTTTTTTATCTTAGAAATACATATTATACTTTATTTACTCAAAAATATGTGGCAACTTTATTCGCTTCACCCGTAAACTTATAAACTTTATTTTTCTCATAAAATAACAAAAAAAATAGTAATAATAAAAATACCTACCTACTGTGATGTATTGCAGTAACGTTTTCAGTATTTTATAGAACTTTATCAAAGAAAACTCGTGATATGGGGACCTAAAAATTAGTTTTAAATAAATATTAATGAAAATAAATTTTTAAATATGTGAATGCCACAAAGCACGGTCCTGAGCCATCTGCATCCATCGACTTCCTGCATGTCTTACCTGAGTTGCTCGTGTCGATAATGTAAACGAACCATTAGATTATTGGTACGAGCAACTCGCCGAATTATTCGTGGACGAGTACGTTGCATTCACATATTCATCTGTATCCATTCAACGTGGATTTTTCGAACATGAATGACGTACGTCTAGTTGCTACGACATTGCGTTTACTTAATCTTTATTTGCCGTGTAGTGGCGGTTAAGAATATCCACTTCCCCATATCTTCCCATGGGTGTCGTAAAAGGCGACAAAGGGAAACAGGAGATGGGCAGCAGCATCTTCCTGATAACAACAAACTTACAATAAATAAATAAAACCTGCGGTTGCCAACCCGCTCGCCAAGCGTGGCAACTATGACAAATACCCCCCTATGATGAGAGTAACAAAGAAACGGCGCCCAGTCCTCAGCGGCCCCGCTATTCCTGGCTACGGTGGCGACCATGGTAACGGCGGGGCAGGGGTGCTAAGAACCTCTGGTGGAGGTTCGGTTGCCACCTAAGACGACTCGACCTGGCAACATACAACGCACGCACCCTGAGGACTGACGAGAAGATCGTGGAGCTGGAAGAAGAGATAGACAAGTTACGCTGGAATATTATAGGATTATCCGAAGTCCGAAGAGAGGGGGAGGACACGGTAATCCTCGAATCCGGCAACTTTCTCTATCACCGGGAGGGCGACCATCTGTCCCAAGGAGGTGTCGGATTTATCGTCCACAAGTCTCTCGTTAACAACGTTGTAAAGATTGAGTGTGTCGACGAGGGTTGCGTACCTTATACTCAGAATCACCAAACGGTATTCGCTGAAGGTCATACAGGTTTACGCACAAACCTCGGCACACCCCGATGAGGAGGTGGAGGAAATGTATGAGGATATTTCTAGAGCCATGCATTCCTCCAAAACCCAACATACGGTGTTAATGGGAGACTTTAATGCAAAACTAGGTACAAGAGAGAACGGTGAGCTGAAAGTAGGGAAATTTGGAATAGGGCAACGGAACCCAAGGGGCCAGCAGCTGGCTGACTTCATGGAGAAAGAGGGACTCTTTATGATGTACTCTTTCTTCCAGAAGCGGCCCCACAGGAAGTGGTCCTGGTCGAGCCCCGACGGTTCCACAAAAAATGAGATTGACATTATGACGATCTGACGACAACTGTTCAGTGATGTCTCCGTGATCACGAGGGTGAAAACTGGTAGCGATCACCGAATGGTTAGAGGCACACTGAACCTAAACGTTAAGTTGGAGAGGTCTCTTCTAATGAAGTCAACGCTACGTCCCCCTCGTGCTCTGTTCCAAAGTACCGAAACCTTTCAGCTCGAGTAACAAAACCGTTTTCAGTGCCTAGAAGACTGCAATGAAGTGGACGATATGAATGACAAGCTCGTGGAAACTGTCCATGTGGTCGGAGCTAAGTTCTGCAAGACCCGCCGCAGAAGAACACAAAAATTGTCCGATCACACTCTCAATCTCATGGCTATTAGACGGGAGATGAAGCTACATTCTTCAACAGATTTGACAGCGTACAGGCAACTGAACAGACAGATCTCTAAATGGATGCGGCGGGACTTACGCAACTTCAATACAGCTTGTGTTTAGGCCAAAATGGTCATTTTGAGACGGCATCCAATCACGTTCGACTTAGCAAATCGCCCGATGGTACCAGATGTCGCGCGTGTCGCGGGGAGGGGGCAGCGGAAGGCAGCTTCCCAGCGTTTGACGCTAGCGGGCGAGAGACAGTAGCTCGAGGGCAGCGGTGCAGTTAATTAGCGTATCTCGGTGACCGCTGCAGAAGTTTTTTCGCGCGACCGGTTTTGGGTTATGGTCTAGATTTTTAGAATTTGTGCGCGTTACTTCGCTACGTAATTGTGGTTTCGTGAAAACCGCCTCGGTTTAGTTTGTCTAGGTTTTAAGTTCGTGACAAGAGGCTTGTATTGTATTTGACTGATTAAAGTAATTTCGTTGGAAAGTAATTGCTCCAATTATATAGTGATTGCGTGTTGAAGTGCAATAATTAACTTGCTCGTGTGATGTGGAATTTCCCTATTGTGTGGTATGATAGGTCATTTTTCCATAAGGCCACTTGGGCCAAAACCCTCGGCTGCCCGTCGAGGAGGCTACTATGGGCCCTAGCCAAGGCGACCTTTGCAGGGGCAGCTGTGGGCCGTAACAGCTTGTATTGAAGAAGCGATCGAGCGGAACAAAGGCTCCAAAGTCTTTGCCAGAGATCTGTCTGCCAGAAAGAGTCAACTGTCGAAGCTGAAGACCGAGTGTGGCAGCATCGTTTCCGGGGCACCTGAGATTTTGAGTGAGATTGAGAGGTTCTATGGGCAGCTTTACACGTCATCGTTGGAGCCACACTCAAGTGTGAGTAACGATCCAAGAGCGAGTCTTATCCGACACTATTCTGAAGATATCCCGGACGTCAGTCTGAGCGAGATTAGAAGGGCTCTCTAGCACCTTAAAAACGGCAAGGCCCCAGGCGAGGATGGAATTACAGCGGAGCTTCTGAAAGCAGGTGGAAGACCGGTACTTGAAGTCATTCAGAAGCTCTTTATTTCCGTTCTCTATGGTAGCATTACACCGGAGGCGTGGAGCAGAAGTGTGGTGGTCTTGTTCTTCAAGAAAGGTGACAACGCTCTCTTGAAGAACTACAGACCCATTTCCCTTCTGAGCCGCGTCTACGTGCTGTTTTCGAGAGTCATTACGAATCGTCTCGCGCGCAGACTTGACGACTTCCAGCCTCCCGAACAAGCCGGTTTCCGAAAAGGCTTTAGCACCATAGACCACATACATACTCTTCGGACTTCTGTACAATTTGCCGAAGCAAATTGTACAGAAGTCCGAAGAGTACAATTTACCACTATGTCTGGCGTATGTGAACTATGAGAAAGCCTTTGATTCCATCGAAATTTGGGCGGTGCTGCAGTCCCTTTAGCGGTGCCAAGTTGACTGTCGGTATATCGAAGTGCTGAACATGGACAAAACAAAGATCATGGTTAATGTCCATGTCACTCCTATGCCGGTAGTTGTTGGGAGCACTGAGCTCGAAGTTGTTGACGAGTATGTTTACCTGGGACAAATAGTCCGACTAGGTAAGTCCAACTTCGACCGAGAGGTCAATCGACAGATTCAACTCGGCTGGGCAGCATTCGGGAACCTACGATACATCTTCTCGTCAGACATACCTCAAAACCTTAAAACGAAATTGTACAACCAGTGCGTGTTGCCAGTGATGACTTACGGAACTGAGACGTGGTCCTTCACTGCTGGCCGTATGAGGAAGCTCAAGGTCGCTCAGCGAGCTATGGAGAGGGCTATGCTCGGAGTTTCTCTGCGTGATAAACTTAGGAATGAGGATATCCGCAGTAGAACCAGAGTAACCGACATAGCCCAACGGATTAGTAAGCTGAAGTGGCAGTGGGCCGGCCATATAGCTCGAAGAACCGACAACCGATGAGGAAGAAAGGTTCTTGAGTGGCAGCCTCGTACCGGTAGGCGTAGTGTAGGGCGACCCCCACGAGATGGAGTGACAACCTGGTAAGACATACAGGAAGTCGATGGATGCAGGTGGCTCAGGATTGTGCTTTGTGGCATTCCTTGGGGGAAGCCTATATTCAGCAGTGGACTTATGAAAGGCTGTAATGATGATGATGATGATGAATATTTATGGACTCACTAATATTTTTAATAAAACAATTATAAATAAAAAAAATTGTGCAACCGACTTCAATATAAATTACTAAGAATAACTCAAAAACTATTGGTCAGACCTTGATCAAAGTTATATTTTATATATAATAAATATACCACATGTTAAGCATCAGCTTTCAAATAAAAAAGAATCATCTAAATCGATCCTCCCAGTAAAAAGTTACGAGGTAACATACATAAAAAACATACAGTTGAATTGAGTACCGTCTCCTTTTTGAAGTCGGTAGAAAAGATGAAAAGACGGCAGTAGTAGAAATAGTTAGTCTTAAGTAGAATATATAAACGTAAACTAATTGTGAAAGTTTTCAACTGAACCGAATACATAGGTACTTATATTTTTTACATAATATTTCTTCAAAAAAAATTATAACAGTAAATTGACAAAGTAAATTAAAATGATAGTTTACAAGTCCAGCGAATAATGACAAGTATGTAAATACTGATACGAATACACACAAGCATTCCTTTCACTCGTGCCAAAAAACCGACATCGAGTGGAGAACAGGCGAGTACTCGGGTTGAGTAGTGAGAACACCCGAACAAGGCGTTTACATGTTCGTACTCGTGCCCACTCGTCTGTACTAGGCGAGTATCTCTAAACTTTGCATTACACACGCACCGCTGTACATAGTACAAACTTCAACTCATTTTGGCGCGCAGCGTTATCTATATTGTATACATATACAGTGGACCCCCGGTAATCCGACAAATATTTTGCAGGGCAGTGTCGGACTATCGAATTTTTCGCATTATAGAGTACTGCCTAAGATCCCCTATAGTCCGGAATTTTTTATAAAAGAGTACCTTGTAATCCGACAAATTCCAGATCTAATGATAAGATTCTATATGTTATATATATGTACTTTGAAGACCGCACCACTATCTTTATTACATGTATGTAGTCAAATTCAAATTAATAAACGAGAGTGAAAACAATACCCCACGCGTCGAGCACAATAGTGGTGGTGCGTACAAGTTATAACTTGTTCGATCATGCATTAGCGAAGATTGTCAAAAAAAAATCTAATTATAAATAATAGACCATGTCGGATTACAGGGGGTGCCGGATTAGACAGGGTCCGGATTACCAGGGGTACCGTACTTGTAAATATGCTGCTTCGATTTGTGTGGCGTAGACGCGCCAGTCATGCTCTATCCTTATCTATTACTCTTGCTCACGCACACGCATTCACTGTGTCTATACAAGCTTTACCCACACATAGCGCTACGCGCCAAGATAAGTCGAAGTATGTGTACCGATACAGCTACAGCCTATTAAAGTCCACTGCTGTACATAACATTCCTCTATAGATTGACTGGTGATATTTGCCATAGTTGCCACGCTTGCCAAGCGGATTGGCAACCGCAGTTATATTATTTTTAGTCATTATTAGGAAGACACTGCTGCCTATCTCCTAATTCGTTTTCCTATGCCGCCTCTTACGGCACCCGCGGGATGATATGGGGTAGTGGATATTCTTGCCTCACTCTAAAGATGCATCTCGAATAATGAATAGATCAACTCGACTTACTAATCCCAGTTGATTCAAAACAGACTCTAACCAACTCCAATTCAATATGCAAGCAACCAAGAGTTCAACATGCAAGTAACTTAATATGCGGTTGACTCTTAGTTCGTTTAGTACTACAATTTTATTAAAAAAAAAAAAACAAGAGTAAAGGTTTAGGGTAACGGTGAACTCTTACCTCTCCGCTATGGACAAACTGCGTCTCGCTTCTTGAACGTTGTCCGCGGCTACTTCGATACTTTCGCTTGCCGTCGTCACCTAAAGAATACATTTTAAGGAACCTTTTCAAGTCTAAAAAATTAAAAAGCTAACTTCAAAGAACTAACGAAAATTTCACATAATAGCTTCAGAAGTCGGTGCTGAGACAATGTATAGAAGAATTACAGCCACGAATTCGGAAGCTATGTGGTGCAAATACCGTGTAGTGGCGGTGTAAGAACATCCACTACCCCATATCATAACGTGAGTGTCGTAAGAGGCGACGGAGGAAAACAAATCAGGAGAGGCTGCAGAGAGACAACAGCGTCTTCTAATAACGACTAAAAATAAAAAATATAGTTTTTTTATAGGGTAAGGGTGTCAAACGAGCACACAGTCCAACTGATGGTAAGTAGTTTCTGTGGCTTATGACATCTATCCTCGACTACGAATCATATGCAGATGCGTTGTCACCCGTGAGCACTAAGATTGAATGCCTTGTTTCCAGTAAAAAGGGTCTCCGGTTCTCTAGCTGCAGCATAGCTCTACTGCGTGTTGTATACCCGCTTATCAAGCGTGGCAACTATGGCAAGTATCCCCTCTATGAGGCAATCTATGGGAAGGCCTATGTTCAGCAGTGAACTATAATAGGATGTGACGGTAACGGTGGCGAAAATGATTTTATTTTCTAACTTCTTTGAAGTCGTCTTTTACTTTTTATTAAAACTTTAACTTTATGACCCCTTTGAGCAGACAGGATTAAGGAATACACAATATCAAGGCAGCCACTCTTTCACTTACTCACTAGAACATTGAATAAAACTTAATTCCCCTTTTGTCCACCTTAAGAAGAGAAATTATTTCTCCACAAAAATGAAACCACCCCTGAAATTCTATAATAAAAAAATCTTGCCATGCGCCGCCATTAAGGCAAATCCTCCCTACAAAGGAAGAAGCCCTTATCCGGCAGTGGACTTTTAAGTGCTTGGACAGATAAATATAATATAATATAAAAGTAATATAAAGGTAAACGACGATATTATATTGAACCCGCAACAATCACGAGCTCGTGGCACCGTCAGACACGCACACGTCTGACCCCGCAAGCACTAGCTGTCCCGTGGCAATCCCTACTCAGAAGAGCATAACCCCTGCCTCTACTCATTCCCCTCCACCTCGATAAGACGGGAGTTATCACCTGTTGGCGCTGCAGCACGGCAGCATCCTGCATGAGACGCCAGCTCTCGTGCAACGCGTGCACTTCAGCCTGCAGCTCGCACCAGCCACGGAGCACTTCTTCGCGCTCCTTCAACTGCAACTCCTGCATTTGCATTTCAAAATCTCAGCAAAACAAATAGCGCGATCCATCCGACTTATAATGATTCTTATACAGTACCTATGTAACAAATAAAACCGGTGATCTTTTTACGGGTGTAAAGATGTACATAATATAGACATGGCGTTTATGACATTGAATTTTTTGGTCGTTATTAAGGGGATTTTAGTGTTCACAATAGGTAATTTACTTAATTCAATCTTGTAAAAAATGTTATTCATATCTGAACTAACTTACACGCACATCAGTAAAACGGGTCATTGACACTACTCTTTCGTCCAATGCAGAGGTAATAAACCCACATACAATATGCAAATAAATATTTATTTTAAATTAGATTTTTTAAGGTAGAGTTTTCTGAAGCGAAGGTTTTTCTATACGTTTGAATCCTGATTCTGATAAAGCACTTATCGGGAACCACAGGGTTTTTGTTACATGTTGTATTTACGGAATTTACATTATATACAGGGTATTTTTGGAACGCTCCCGAAAACTAAGACAGGCGACAGCACCAAGTATACCTTTGATCATGGGTCATAAATAAATTTGATCCTGATGAAAAAAAAAACATATTTTTACAACGTTTTATTAGCTTTATTCACGCGTCATCATGTTAGTACAGCTAAATGAAACGATAATTTCATAAAAAAAATCATGAAAAGACTGAAACATAAAACCAGCAGTGGAAACTGAATTGATATCACCTGACTAATGGAGGTTAATGTACGCGCGAACGGTGAAAAAAGAACGCTGGCCTTGAACTTGGGCACTGAGCGATTTATCACATATTGGCCAGTATTACTGTGCCTGCATGTTATTGGTTCCCGCGCTTTGTTCGCTCCAAAAATACAGTCGCATATACAGCTTACTTTGCGACTCGCGACTTTTTAAAATAGATGTTTTAAAAAGGAAGGAAAAAAAATTATTTATATCTATTGTTTTATGACTAAACTAGTGAACGAAAAAGTGAATGGGGAAAATTGTGCAGTAAAGTTAAAATTGTTGAGGAAGAATACCGAAAAAATTACCATGTGATCGACCTGATGTCGGAAGCTCAAGCGAAGATGAAAGTGATGATGAAGTAGCATCCAGTAACACCAACACACCATCAACATCTGGCTTCCATGTGACCCAAGACGTCATAATGGACGGCGTGTCACCCTTAGCTTAAGTTTTTTTGTTACAAACTACTTTATATTTTACGATAGAAATAACAAACAATGCTCAAGTAAACATTATCTATTTTTAATTCCCACCTCTTCCAAAGTTCTAAGTAGCTAGTAAAACACCTATTATGATTCTACAATAAAACAATTAATTACTATAATATTATAAAACAATAGCCCAATACCATGTAGTACTTTAGAACGCGACTGTACCCACACTCACTCCGCTGTCGACCTGTATCTAGCTCGGTATGAAACAAGGCTGCGGTCATATAAGTTAAATATACCATTCGACTCATGATAAGAAGACGCATCTACTAAATTTTTTTAATATTCACTAATATCAATATTTTAGAAATTATCGTCAGAATTTTAGACGTAGCTGTTGATCACAGATGACATTTTATTAGTAGAAAAGACTTATACAAATTCAACATAAAAGAAAAGACTTATTTAACCAGTTGCTACGTCATCTTTAACAATATTTGCATCGATTACTTAAATTTAAATTATTCTTGTCTTATTATTTTATATCTTATTATTAAGAGCTTATATCTTATTATTAAGAGCTGGTGTTTCACATGTGGTCCCATATAAATTTGATCGAGGTCAGACCAATAGTTTTTGAGTTATCCTTAATTATTTATATTAAAGTCGGTTGTACAAATGTTTTAATTTTTAATTATTATCGTAGTAAGTCTTGTATGATATCCCCTTTAAAATCATTACTCAAGAGTTGCGGGTTGTTATTTTTTGTGTCTCACTACCAATGCTTTTCTAATATTTACTAAGAAAAAAGTAGTAAATTACTATTAGCGTCCTCTCAACTTCAAATGACCTTTCCAAAATATGTAAAAATGTTAAATGAATGGTAGTTTTGTTTTATTTATTAGGTTGGGAAGACCCAAATAGTTATATGCGTCTTTCCTTCGATGTTTTTGTGTTGCCAGGTGTATTTTTTAATCTAAGATGAAAAGGAAAATTCGTTTTATTTAAATAAATAAACAAATTTAAAAAAAAAAATAAGTTCGTCCTTAAAATCTTCATGTCTCTACGTATATATTTCAATATAGATACCTTTTAATATACTTTAGACACGGGGTCTGAAAGAAAAATTCATCAATTTATTTTTTATTTCCATTTTACGTTTTTGTTAGTTACTTCCTTTTTTATTATGACGGCAGAATGCCTAACCCTGTCGCCTCATGCTTGTGACGCAGTAGGTTTCAGCCTTGACGGGGTTCGTTCGTTTTAGTTTTTGAGACAGTTCCGTGTTGATTTTGTACACGCGTGCGCGAGCGACAGTTCAATCATTTTGTTTAATAAATTTACTTGTGATTACGTGTTGATATTAAAGTTTTTGTTACGTTTTTGGATTCTTTTTTGTTTTAATAATGCCTAACGCGTACGTTTATAGTGGTTATTATACTGCCGTTGGTTATTATATCAGCAACAACGTGTGCCTGGTTCCATTGAGCACATTATCTGGACGGATGAGTCGACATTTACCAGAAACGGCCTGTGGAACCGAAGAAATACACACGTGTATTCAGAGGTTAACCCGCACGCTGTTCGACAAACCGGGCACCAAACCCGATGGTCGGTTAACGTATGGACAGGTTTATTTAAGGATCGCATACTGGGACCAGTGTTTCTGCCAGAGCGACTGAACGGACAGCGATACCTAAACTTTATAAATGAACAGTTGCTTGACATTTTAAACGACCTATCGTTGGCTGAATATCGCCGCACATAGTTCCAACATGATGGTGCCCCTCCACATTTCGTGAGGTTCGTCCGTGAGCGCCTCAATGAGCTATTTGATGATCGCTGGATCGGCAGACTAGGACCACACGCTTGCCCACCTCGCTCACCAGATCTGACTCCGTTAGACTTCTTTTTGTGGGGTATGTGAAAGAAAGGGTTTTTAATCGTGAATGTGATAGTGCTGAAGAAATGCGCCAAAGGATCGTGGATGCTTTCGAGAAACTACTTACGGACTGTGTCGAAGACCACACGATGATGCCCCGCCTGCACCCAAGTCTGCCTTGAAATGAATGGAGCACAATTTGAGCCGCATCTCATAAGACCACGGAGGATTTAGAGCAGTAAGCTGTTTCATAACTATTTTTTTTAAATAACTTAGTACTAGACTAATCTGAATAGGTACATAACTGAATACACGAGAATAATAAACATACCTACACGATGAATAAAAACGCATGACTCCAACCTTGGTTACATTTCATTTAAGTATTTCTTCATTAGCGGGGAATCGAACCAGTTATTTGGGTTATTTAACCTGTAAATTCGGATTAAAGTGGCTACGTGGAGATAAGCACAGTGGCAAAATAGTAGGTTAAGTAGATAAGTTAGGTATTTAGACACGTGTTGTAAATTATTAGGTATTGTGGGAAGGCCCGCTGGTTGCGGGCCGCGCGAATTTGTGTTCGCGCGTACATTGACCTTTATCTAGCTCAGGTCAGGTGATATCAATTCAGTCATTCCACTGCTGGTTTTATGTTTCAGTATTTTCATGATATTTTTTATGAAATTATCGTTTCATTTAGCTGTACTAACATGATGGCGCGTGAATAAAGCTAATAAAACCTTGTAAAAAGATGATTTTTTTTTTCATCAGGATCGAATTTATTTGTGACCCATGATCAAAGGTATACTTGGTGTTGTCGCCTGTCTTAGTTTTCGGGAGCGTTCCAAAAACACCCTGTATATGATGTTGAAATTAATAAGCTAACAAAATGATGTGTCTTACTCTTACCTAGTCTGGAGACGACCTCTTCATTACTAATCCCAACACCGCTACTCCCAACATCACTACACTAGGAAAGACACCACCATTGATAATACGACACGTGTTTCGCCTCTAAACGAGGTATCATCAGGAGGAATAAATTCGGCGATGGCTGACCGCTAAGCTATAGCGGTGTTGGGGTTAGTGGTGACCGGGATAGTGCACGCAATTGAGGGAAGGCAAGAGGTGCTCTTCAAACTAGGTCATCATTCATCATCATCATTACAGCCCTTCACAAGTCCATTGCTGAACATAGGCCTCCCCCAAAGAATGCCACAAAGCACGGTCCTGAGCCACCTGCATCCATCGACTTCCTGCATGTCTTACCAGGTCGTCATTCCATCTCGTGGGGGGACGCCCTACACTTCGCCTACCGGTACGAGGCTGCCACTCGAGAACCTTTCTTCCCCATCGGTTGTCGGTTCTTCGAGCTATATGGCCGTCCCACTGCCACTTCAGCTTACTAATCCGTTGGGCTATGTCAGTTACTCTGGTTCTACTGCGGATATCCTCATTCCTAAGTTTATCACGCAGAGAAACTCCGAGCATAGCCCTCTCCATAGCTCGCTGAGCAACCTTGAGTTTCCTCATACGGCCAGCAGTGAAGGACCACGTCTCAGTTCCGTAAGTCATCACTGGCAACACGCACTGGTTGTACAATTTCGTTTTCAGGTTTTGAGGTATGTCTGACGAGAAGATGTGTCGTAGCTTCCCGAACGCTGCCCAGCCGAGTTGAATCCGTCGATTGACCTCTCGATCTAAGTTGGACTTACCTAGTCGGACTATTTGTCCCAGGTAAACATACTCGTCAACAACTTCGAGCTTAGTACTCCCAAGAACTACCGGCATAGGTGTGACATGGACATTGAACATGATCTTTGTTTTGTCCATGTTCATCTTAAGACCTATCCGTTGGGAAACACTATCGAGGTCATTGAGCATAGTGCTTAGGTCCTCCAGCGATATTCTGCCATAAGGACTATATCGTCGGCAAATCGAAGGTGAGTGATGTACTTGCCATTGATGTTGATCCGTATCCTACATAGTGGCAAATTGTACTCTTCGGACTTCTGTACAATTTGCCGAAGGGTATGTATGTGGTCTATTGTGCTAAAGCCCTTTCGGAAACCGGCTTGTTCGGGAGGCTGGAAGTCGTCAAGTCTGCGCGCGAGACGATTCGTAATGACTCTCGAAAACAGCACGTAGACGCGGCTCAGAAGAGAAATCGGTCTGTAGTTCTTCAAGAGAGCGTTGTCACCTTTCTTGAAGAACAAGACCACCGCACTTCTGCTCCACGCCTCCGGTGTAATGCCACCATGGAGGACGGAATTAAAGAGCTTCTGAAGGACTTCAAGTACTGGTCTTCCACCCGCTTTCAGAAGCTCAAACTAGGTAAGACACATTATTTTTTATTTTGTAATTTATTTATCAACATACTGCATGCCTTAAGCGCGAAGCGTGCAGGTATGTTCTACTAGGGCCTAATTTAATATTATAAGAAGTAACGTAAAATAACAGCCTATACTATAATATACGTCCTAACGTCGTATGTCCTCACTTAAGAATCAAAAAGCAGATGCGTTGTCACCCCTGAGGACTAAGATGGAATGCCTACTCTTGTTTATAATATGATGCACATTGTAGCAAAGTATGCGTAAACACCTGGTCGTCGTGCTGCAGCTGCAGCTGCGGCGCGTGTGCCACCACGCCCACCGACTCCGTGGACACCGCGCTGCCGCACACCACCTCCCCCACTCCCTCCCCGCCCACACCTCCCACACCACCACCTGTCCGCCGTATCGTCACCGGCGACGACTCTACACCAAAAAACATATTTATTAAGATTATTAATAGAATCAGGCGTTACTTTGCAGAAATCCATTATATTTAAAATATTAAAAATTACCATATAGTGGCGTATAAGAATATGCACTGCCCCACATCATCCCCTGGGTGTCGTAAGAGGCGACAGAAGGAAACAAATCAGGAAATGGGCAGCAGCGTCTTTCTAATAACGGCAAAAAATAAAAAACCAACCCGCTTGCCAAGAGTGCACCTATGGAAAATATCGCCTCTATGAGGCAATCTTTGGGGGAGGCTTATGTTCGGCAGTGGGCTTTAGTAGGCTGTACCGGTAAACGAGATGGTTGTGCCGCGATATGTTCCGGCATATCGTTTTTTAAGTCACCCACAGGACGAAACGGGATGATCGCTTATCAACACGGTGATTTTATAACATACTGGCCGGGAGGGGTCGCACCCCTCCTGGCTTTGGCGAGATCATCATTAACATCATTACAGCCCTTTAAGTCACTAATCAAAGCACGACCCTGAGCCACCTGAATCCATCGACTTTCTGCATGTCTTACCAGATCATCACTCCATCTTCGCTTAGATGGGATCTCTATCTTCGATTAGTATGGCGTTAAGATAATCAAACATTTATTTTATCAATATTTAGTTTTTTTCGAAAAATATTTTTAAAAATATTTCGGGTGAAAGAAAGCCTAGGTCCTTCCTGGCATGGTTCTCTGTTTGTCAAGTTTTATCATAAGCAGTTCACCGCTCCGAAGATTAGCCCGGACAAACAGACAAACAGATACATTCAAAAATGCTAATACGAGTAGCATGCAAATAACAGCTGAGCTTAATAGAAACCAGTTATTTCAATAATACAGACAAACACTACAATTTTTTTATTATAGAATAAGGCTGACAAACGAGCACATAGTCCAACTGAAGGTGAGTCTGAAAGTGAGGTGAGTTGCTGTGGCCCATAGACATCTACATCTGTAGATGTCTATGGCACAGCAACTACTCACCACAGTATAGATATCCTCGATTATGTATCAAAATGCTGATGCGTTGCCACCCGTGAGGACTAAGATGGAATGCCTCGGTTCCAGTAAAAATGGTCTCCGGTTCACTACACTCACCAAACGAAACACAGCAGTGTTAAGCTGCTATTTTACGCTGGTATTCTGTGAGAGCGTGGTCCTTTCCTAGTCGAGCCGACCCATTCGTGCTACAACTATACCACTAATATAGCTGCAGCATGGCTCTACCACGTAAAGTTCGAGTTTTAGACTTTCAATGTTTTACAACAAACACACTCGCAAACCAATGACTTTATTAGATAATTGGTAAAGCAACACTGAGTTGGATGGATGGATGGCGTATCAGTTGATAGTTATCATTTAAACAATGATTATTATTAAGCAGATTTATTTACATGTCGCTATTGTATTATTATTAGATGCAGGTGGCTCAGGAACGCGCTTTATGGCTGTACAACACACTACGGTGTACTTTTCGTTGCGCTGATTTGCGGCAAGCTTCCTTCCCTCCGAAATGCGGGATAGTTGTATGGACTGTTACTGATATTCATTTTCAATATGGTTACTAAAGTAAACAACGTATTCATTTCTTATTAACTGCGCGCAGAAAGTTTGCTGATGACTTCATGAAGTGACGTGTCGATGGTTAGTGCGATTGACCAAAATACATGTAATTAAAATAGTGGTTGCAAATGTGATATATCAATAAAGGAAAACTATTAATAAAAAGCGTTGGAGTTGTTACTAAGATTTATTATAGGCGAAAATTATTGTTTTTCTTTCTCGAAAAACGTTAGAACCTTTAAAATAATAACATGTTCATTACTAGAGTCAGGCGTTACTTTGCGGAAGCCCATTATATTAAAGTTGGTAAAAAATTACTTCAGGTACATCCGCTCGATAAAATAAAATGATATGTCTTACCTACTTTGAAAAGCACCTCCCGCCCTCTCTCAATTGCGTGCACTATCACCGTCACCACTAATCCCAGCACCACTACTCCCAACACCACTACACTAGGAAAGACACACCTCCGACGACAATACGACACGTGTTTAGGGTCAGACTGGTCACAATTTCGAGACACGTTATAAAGAGCATTTAGCCGCGTACAGGAATTGCAATCCCGATAAGTCCCATTTTGCTAAACATCTTTTGGACACTGGACACAACCTAGCCAACAACCACTCCTTTAAAGTCTTACATACGTGTAATAAAGGGCTGCGACTGTGTGTGCTGGAACAGTTAGAGATATTAAAAAGTAATAATAATAACGTTGCACTGCTGAATGAACAAACAAATGTTTCTAACTTACCTCTCTTGAATATCTTTTAGTCTGCTCTCTAATAACAGCCTCGCAATATGGCCGTTTTTCACCCTCACGGTGATCGGCGATTGGTTGCGTGGTTGGAGGGTAGGCGGGTGTTGCGCGGCGGTTTGTTTTTAATTTTACAAACGGCTGTATAAGTCCAGCGGCGATTGGTCGCATGTTTCATCGCATGACGCGGTCGCTCGCTCCTTAAGTAGGGAGCGGTTGCGTCAGCGGTCTATATAAATATTTGTTTTGGCTCACCGCTCACTTATTACATTGAGACAGAACTGATACTTGAAAACTAACAAACACACACACACACACATGCGCGCGCGCACACACACACACACGCACGCACACACACACGAAATTAAATAAATAAATAAATCTAATATAATACGTAAACTTATAATAATAATAATTGAAAACTTGCTTGTTTTAGTGTATATTCGTTGTAATTTAGTTTTTTTTTTATGTAACTGATATATAAAAACAGCGGTTCTTCCTAACACAGGCGATGTTTTGCCTAAAGGGGAGTTCCCACAACTAATATTTGTAATAGACTAAGTTACTGAAATAAAAATATTTATTATTATTATTATTACTTAGCGGTCAGCCACCGCAGAGTCTAGATTACCTGAAGATGCCTCGTGTAGAGGCGAAACACGTGTCGTATTGTCGTCGGTGGTGTGTCTTTCCTAGTGTAGTGGTGCTAGGATTAGTGGTGACGCTGATAGTGCACGCAGTTGAGGGAGGGCGGGAGGTGCTCTTTAAACTAGGCAAGACACACCATTTTATTTTATCGAGTGGATGTACGCGAAGTAATTCTTTACCAACTTTAAATAACATGTTCGTCACCGCAATAGGATTTTCCTTTACCCATTTAAAAAAAAAAACCACAAATATAAAACAAAAGAAAACTTAACAAGTAATATTTTCAGAGCGAGAACAATAAAATTCAAAGATGTTGCACACGTAAGCGTACGACTGCGTTGTTAACGGTACTAACTAGTAACTACGCGATCGCGGTATGCGGTCGGCGGAGGTGAGAGGGGTTGTCATCGGCAAACTTTCTCATAAATGTATGAATTTCGAATGTTATTTTTTTATACTTACATAAAAAACGCACATATTAATAAAAATAATTTTTGGCGGGAAGTCGTGAGTCAATTGTTTTTTGTCACAAGTTGAAGCGAAAAGATTTCAAATCGAAAAAAAAAACGTTTGAAAGTTAGAATACTTTGTTGCCGCTAGATTCCTCATGAACTCACGCCAGAACAAAAAGGAGCTCGAGTTGATTGGTGTAGTTAAAGTAGTTATGATCACAGACGTTTAAATACTGTATATGACATTGTTATAGGAGATGAAATATCTTCTGTATGAGTGCTGTTATTTATTGGATATTTACGAGCAAAATACCTACCGTTAATGCTGAGTGGTACAGCATTATTTGTTCGCCCAGTGTCTTTGGAAAAGTTAGGGAAAACAACCAAGAAGTCGTATCCTATTGCACCATGACAATGCTTTGGCGCCCACCGCGAACAAGTCAGTCATATTTGACTGCTGTAAAGGTGGAATTCGTGACCCATCTCGCACACAGTCGAAATTCAAATATTTTATGAGAGGTTTGACATTACCGCAACCAGAGCCGACCATGAAAAGTTTCAACGAACATGAAACATGCCCTTAGACCGATAGTCCTTATGTTTTCATAAATAGTATTAACAAATAAAGTGTTTAAAATGTGATGGAGAACACTTCGAAAAGCAATAAGTATATTAGTTTACATAAAAACTGTTTTATTTATGAGTTACGCAAAACTTTTAGTCAATCACACGTAGGGCTCTTTCCTGTCTAAAAGTTTCATCATTAACGTTGTATGATAATGTTCTGTTCAATTGTAAATTGAAAATAAATATTTCACCGCGTAGCGACCATATTGTCTCGTGGATATCGTAAGAGGTGACAGAGGGAAATGAATCAGGAGATGGACAGCATCTGCTTTTTGATACCTCGAAATAATAAAAACTTCGGCTCTCAACCGCCTGTTAAGTCCATAAAAGGCATTGTTTGGCAGTGGTTCTTTGGTAGCCTATAATAAATGAATGAAAAATATAAATATTTCGTTTTGTATTTACTAGTTAGTATGGGATTTGCAATCTAATAAATGAAGTAATATCGAAATAAAAGAGACGCGCAGAATTGGTTGTTTGCAACACGCGTTAGATCCTACGGGCTCTAACTTACTCTGTGTCTCTGTGTGGTACTCTGTGCTCTGTGCATCCGACCACGAGCCCTGCACTGCCGCACAGATTTCGTTCGCGGTGTCTGTTCTAGTACGTAGTACATAATACTTCAATGCCTAAGAGCCGCAGCACTAAGCCGCCGGTGATCATTAAGGAACAAAGATCGTACACAGCACCACAAGCATGCAATCATGTTAGCGACACTCCTCACCGCGCCACCGCGTCATCTCGCGTCCCGCGCCCACCAGCGCCCTACAACTGCGCTCTATCACACCTATAATCACAACTGACATTCACCAATTGTGAAAGAACAATAACCATTTTGGACTAAGAAAAAACATACATGTTACCGATATGAGACTGTCACCAAAATGTAGAACATTGTCGGTTTAATTAATGGATATCATCCGTTTATTACTAAAAGCTGGGGAAATATACATAATCGCCTTTAGAAATATAACTTTGCTTATCAGAACGCAGTATTAAATGTATTGTTGAACGCATCCGTACGTTTACGTTCCTAAACAAAGAGTATATAACTACGTTTTACTAGAGAAGTCCATATATACCATAGAGTATATAATCTAATAAAAAGCACTCTGTGATAAGATCATTATGTTTTATTTAGTCTTCCTAATTACAACTAACAATTAAAGTACTGCGGTTGCTATCCCGCTTGCCAAGCGCGGCTACTATTGTAAATATTCCCCCTACGAGGCAATCTGTGAGGCATATGTTCAGCAATGGACTTTTGATAGGGTGTGAGTATTCAATTAATGAAAAAAAAACATGAAGTTTGCAAACACGAATCAAAGAAGCGTGGCGGAGAGGTCCGATTTCTTGTGTGAAGGTGTTTACTAGCGGCGAGTCGTACCTATACATCGTATGTTACTTGTGGGCTGTACAACAAGTAAAGTGTACAACAACAAGTAACACGTTACGTATTACGATTTACGACTGTCTCATTGGTGTAGTGGTCGTATAATCATGTTCAGCCCAGATGACCAGTCTCTGCTGACACTTTTTTTTTATAATATAAGGGTGACAAACGAGCACAGCATCACCTGATGGTAAGTGGATGCTGTTGCCCATAGGCATCTACATTTATCCTCGATTAAGAATGAACATATAGATGCCTTGATGTCACTCCTTAGGACTAATACGAGGGGCACACTGAAATGATCGGGAATAAGAAAGTTGTCAAAATGTTGTCAAAATGGCTGATTTGTACACTTCCACAGCTACTTCGGGGTCTTCAAACCGTTGACCGCGTGATAAATCTTTCATTCTAGGAAATGTAAAGAAATCGTTTGGGCTCAGGTCAGGACTGTACGGAGGATAGCTCATCAGCTCAACGTTTTCCTGCTTCAAAAAATCATTTGTCTTCCGAGCCGTATGGGAGCTCGCATTATCGTGATGTAAGATGATGCGACGTTTCGGGTTATATTTTCGGAGTTTTTCTGGCAAACAAACCGTGATATACCACTCAGCGGTAACCATTCTGCGTTCCTGCAAAGAAATTGTAGCAACATGCCCCTTTTTCGAGACAAACGTAGGAACCATTTTCTTCGACACGCTGCGGAAGCGACCCACTTTCGTTGGTTTAACCTTGTCTTCGAAGACCCAAACTGCTGACTGATGTTTTCTTTCAGGTTCGTATGAATAAATCCATGCTTTGTCACCTGAGACGATATTATAAACGGCATTTGACTTCCCTCCGTTGAAGCGTTGCAGAGTATTCCGGCACCTATCTACACGAGCCGCCTTTTACTCTTCGGACAAATTGTGGGGATCCCAGCGGAAAACTAGCTTTCTTACACAGCTCATTATGTAATATCAACTGAATTGCAGTCATTCCGATACTGATAACAGCCCGAATCTGGTCGTATGTCACATGACGGTCATCTAATATAAAGTTCGCACAGCTGCGATGTTTTCAGGCGTGACCGCTGTTCTTGGTCGACCTACAGAAGAAACAATGCTGGGCGACACACGACTGCGTCGGAACTCGGCATACCAGCGGTATATTGTCGTTTGACTCGGTGCTTCAACATCATAAATCGAAACAAGTTCGCTGAGACATTTATCTTGAGATAAGCCGCGACGAAAATTGTGATAAATTATGGTACGGAAATGTTCACGCGTGAGCTCCATTTTTGTTAACGACGTGTCAACTTTAAACCAACATAGCTTTTGTTTTTAAACATTTTTTTAAATTGTTTGAATGTTATTAAGATTTTAAGAGGCCAGTATTCAAATACTAAAAAAGGTTTTATTGTAACTCAATCCGAAATATCCCCGATCATTTCAGTGTGCCCTAGTACCTATGTAATGCCTCGTATCCAGCAAAAAGGGTCTCCCGTTCTCTACACTCATCATAGAAAACACAGCAGCATTAAAAGCTGCAATTTTACGCTGAACAAATGCTATTTTACGAGACTGCTCGCCGTGTCCGAAATTCGGTCTGGAGCACATTATCATTAAACGAGTAACACGTTACGTAGTAAGTATTAGTTAATCAGTGGCTGCACGTACCGAGATAGTCGACGATGGCGCGCAGCGTGAGGTCGCGCGAGCGCTGAGTGAGCGCATCGAAGCGATCCCAGTCCTCAGGACGTACCTGCAGTAATAAATCTTAAAGTGGCAACTAGTTTTCTTATAGAATAATGGTGACAAACATTACTAGTAGTTATTACTTAAAACACAAGTAAAAATATAAGCGGTGTGCGAGACGCACCTGTCTCCGCAGGGCGTCCATCTCGTGCAGCAGCGCGCGCAGCTGCGCCGCCACGCGCCGCGCGTGCGTCTGCTCCGAGCGCACGCGCGCGCCGTCGCCGTGCTCGCCGAACTGCAAGCAGCGCACATCGTCACGTGTCGCATGCACTGACACACCGTGATATGTGACAACCGTGCAACACCAGGCGTCTTTATAACGTATGATCACAATGTATCACAGTATCTAGTACATTATGATGTATGAGAATCGTGGAACACGATGCAATATTCTTTCTCTTTATTTTGGTACAAACCATTCTTTAACAAAAAAGGTATATAGTGACTTCTGGATCTCGACAACAGCATCGCCACCGGGTCCTATTGTGAATCTAAATCATTTAAGTAATTCTAAACAATTATCGAATCAACTTAATCACACACACAAAATTTCATCTAAATCGGTCCAACTGTTTAGGAGGAGTTCAGTCACATATACACTGACAGAAGAATTATATATACACCTAAAACCAACCTGTGATTGCGTACACACTCATGCACTATACTCCTGCCCTGCACAGATGGCTAGTATCTGTTTAGAAAGACTGGCGTGATCGAAATTCGATCTGGAGGACATTAGTTCCATACTTAACAATCGTTTTTTTATTATTATGGCATGTTATCATTATGTTGCTACTGCTCATCCCTGTCCCTTTTCCCTCTGTCGTCTGTTATGACACTTACCCGATGATATGGGGTAGTGGATTCCGGGTGTGCAATTATTAACATTAATGTATAAACAAAATTATTGTTAAGTGAAATTATGTTTTAAAAAAAAGTCCCGCTGGGTTTCTTGCTGGTTCTTCCCAGGACAGAGGTATTTTCCGAACCAGTGGTAAATAAAATAATGACTTTCAATAAGTATTATGTAATAATCCATACTGAATAAAAATCATTATATTCTATTCTATTCTAACCTATATTATTTATGAGAGTTGAGTCCAATAGTCCAATAAAAACAAAGACATTCCTATTATTTTGCAATTCGCAATAATTAGCCCTTGCCTAAACTTTATGCAAAAAGTTAAATTATGGCAGCACTGAAAAAAGTACATCTTAAAAATCAAAAAAATCTAAATCCTTCAAATACACTGTATCAGTGTGCTACATAGAACCCGTAAAACCATTGAACCCACAACCCGTTGAATCATTAAGGATTGGGTTTCAAAATCAAAAGCACACAGCATAGCAACCAGGCACTTCAAGAATTAGGCCAATCAATATCATTAAACATTAAATATTTATTCACTTACAACAAATGTGATATCAGTGACCTACTGATCTTTGAATCGTGAATATAATATGTTTAGTAATCTTAGATTTGAAAATCATGTCCTTAATATGGTAAAAAACTGTTTTTATCGTCTAAAGGTATTATACCATATCCGTGACCAACTATCTGTACCGTCGCGCATTACTCTTTGCGAGTCATTAATTTTATCTCGGCTTAACTACGGAGATGTTGTTTATGGACCTCGAATTTTCAGCAAAACAAAGCGACTAATACAGCGCGTGCAAAATGCATGTTGTCGGTTCTGTTTTGATGTCCCCCCCAGAAGTCACATTACTCCTTTCTTGAACACTGCTTCCATGCTCAACATGGACTCACGTAGAGAGCTACATTTAGGAGGGCTTGTTTTTAATGTCATTAAGTTTAAAAAACCAGAGTACCTGCATGTAAAGATAAAATTTGCTAAGCAAAATTCCGGAAAACAATTGAGGTCCATAAGATCAGCACTCCTGTATCACAGCCATAAAACAGCGGCATTTACTGGTAGTTTCCGATATATGGCAACGAAGTGTTGGAATAACATCCCACCACCAATAAGAAATCTTAACACCAATTACAATTTCAAAAATAAATTCAAAACATATCTTCTACATAAACAAAAACAAGGTATTCCCAAACACTTTGTTTGCCAGCTATAAACCACGGTATTTTTTTGTTCTTACTAACTCATCATAGCTGTCTAAGCCTTTTAGGTACTATTTTTAATTTGTACGCAAACTTACACACTTACAGTAATTTTACTAAATTAAACCCAGGATACAAATCGTACGTATTGTCAAATCGTAGGGCTGAAAGGACACATCTTTCAAATATACATATTTACACTGATTAACTATTGTGCTCATTTTCTTCTCGTCATCTCGAGGGTAATAGCTGAAAATCAGTGTTTGCTCTCTGAGCAATATTAATCGCTGAGCTAGGACCCATTTGTCAAACTGCAACACACATGTACATTTAGATTTTAAGTTTTTGTAAATTATTTTTTTTCGTAATATGTTACTTTGTACTTAGTTTAGTTACTGAATTTACGTGTGTGATTGGAGAAACAAATAAATGCTTTATCTATCTATCTATCTATCTTTTACGTAATATATTTTATATACCTATCATCATATTAATTACAAATTATAAAATTTAGAACTAGAATTTTCAAGCAGTTAGGTACATAAACTCTCATAGCTATCACCCAGAGGGGTAGGCAAAGACACAGATATAGACTGACAGACAGACAAACAGTGATATATACTAGTTAACCTAGTTAATTTTGAATAGGATTATTAATAATTAAGTAATAATAAAAGTTTAACTACCACTTAATATTGAAGTGGGGGGGAGTTATGAGAGAATAGAGGAAACCTCCTCGCTCCTCACTGATATCACTTTTCCCAATAGGATCGAGTACATGTTCACCAAAATTTTTTCAGACAAAACTACTTCTGCCTAAACTTCTTTAATCAAATTTCTTTTGACAGTTTAGGCCTGTCACATACATACGGAATTCTGTTCCGGGATTCCGTTTCAGAATTCCAAACGGGTCGGCCACACACATCGGGAGTCACGTGCCTGCAAAATTTCGAACAGAAAACTACGGTACGTATGTGAAGAGTCATAGATTTTGTATGAACTTGCTGCATTCGGAATCTCGAATCGGAATATCGTAACGGAATCCTGAAACAGAATTCCATATGTATGTGGCCGGCCTTAGTCTGTCAAATTAGTTTTCACTGGGAAATAAGTTTAAATGTAACATATAACAAAAATAAGAATATATGAGCAAGATTATTGGAGAAAATAGTAATTTTATTCATTACCCAAATACTACATGTTCCCAGCGCTAAAACTATATATAAATTAAAAAAGTAATCTTTCCAACACTAGTCATTTGAAAGTGCTAATTTTGGAAGTTAACTTCCAAGATTAATTAAAAGGTGAACCAAATTATATCTCTGAATATAATTTTTACAAATTAATGTTATATAAGAAAACTATTCATGGTATCATTTGGTTTCGAGCAAAGAAAATAATATCTGAATTGTATAAAATTTTACTTCAGCACATGTGACTAAGTTGCGTCAGAGTGAATAAAATCCAACAATTCACAGTACGACACAGTTTATTTTTAGATTACAGAACTTGTCTCCCAGAAAACATTGTATATTACTCAATGCAGAAGTTTTTTTTTTTCAGCTATAATCACGACAGACTGTAAGGATAAAGAGTTTTAAAATTTCGAATACAGCTTTGTGTATTTTACCTTGATAATATTAGCCTTGTGTTGTCGTAACAAATCTAAATGATGAGGTATTGCAACTTCATTAAACTTCGTTAAGGAAAGTTCCACTCGCTTTAGAGGCAATTTACCAACTTCCTCCATAGTGATTTCAGAATTTTAGCTAAAGAATATAAACAAAAATTATACGTTCTATTACATTTCAGTCTTCACACTATTGTTAATTTCTGAAAAATAACTAAATTAATACATAAGGTGCTATCGCATGTTTTTGTTTAGTTTTGTCGTTTGCTCGATACTCGATTGTCAAAAGCAAACGTCAATTATTATCAAAAGTCAATTTCTTATTTATTATGGCATTGGCTAAAAGGCTTTCAGCCATAAAGAATAAAATAAGCTCTTTAACATTAAACAAGATGTTTTTTTTTTATATATATATATATTATGCTTATAATAAATATAAAATAAACTATTGGTAAATCAAATAGTGCATGCCTTAAGCCCATTAAAAAAGGTCACTCTATCAAGTTCGGAGATAAGGTCTCATCATAACTAACAAAACGAATTTAAATAAAACTAATTTTACGGATTTTATCCCGTATATTAACTTATTTTATATTCCCGACATTTCGGGCACTTTTCAGCACCCATGGTCACGAGGGGGGGGGGGGGGGGGACTGCAGTCCATGGCGTGGAGAACGGCAATGGAAAAACTAGAGAGAAAACAAGACCTGCCCGGAACCGAAGGCGTGCAGTGTTTGTCCAGACCAGAAAAGGAGAATAAGAATTCTGGACAAGGAAGAGATTAAATAACTTGTAGAGAGTCAAAAAAGTGCACGTGGGAAAGAGCCCCGAGCAAGCACGGTGTGCACCTCTCAAGATTCGGCCCGTACAACCGCAAGGTTGGTGGGGCCATAGGAGGTGGAGGGCCAGATACTGAAGTACACCTTCAGATTACTCCATAAAGTCCTAGACGTATAAGTATATTTATATGTAAATCCTACGTACTTTTAGCGAAACAATATATTGTAATAAAAATTTGTGTGTTTTTGAAATACTTTGTATTTCTAAAGCGATCGATACTTCTGCTGGTGCCTATTGCCGCTGCTGTAAGCAAACGATACAGTTCGATGGCGGCCAAGTGCGACTGAGCAGTGAGCTGTGAGCTAAAGGTGTATTTAGTAAAATAAATCATTACAAGGCTGCTCAAGCAACAAAAAATTCAGGATTTCTCCGCCGAAAAAATATAATTATAACTAAACAAAACAAAATTAAATTAAATTGTCATTTACATTCCACGGCTTCCCACATGATAGACGAAGAGATTAAAATACAGATTGAGTTAAACAATTGATATTTTCAAAAGTTATCGTGTTTACCCATGCGGACTTGATAAATCTACACCATACGCAAATAATCAATTTAAAAAGAAATTAATAAGTTCAACAATCATTTATCTTTCTGACAGTGTGCTCTTTATATCATTTATATGTTGTTATGTTATAGGAGCTCGTAGCAAACTGAACGTGCGCCCAACGTGTGGACGCGACGGCCAATACTCTGCCACAATCCTTTGATCTTTTGCAAAAAACCGACACCACACGGATCGCGCGCCAACTTGTGGGCCATCGTTCCAATACGTATCAACGTAGCTTAAACACCCGCTCTACACGATGGCTATCGTTGTTGGCCAACACATTCGCCAGTGTGTTGGCCAACGTGAAGAGCCTCCGTAAGAAGATGTTTTCTGCTGTATTTATATATATCAGCAAGTAGTTGGTCCATTCTGGGATATTTGAGTATTTGAGACGCTTGACTTCCTTCGCGAACTCTTCAAAAGTAGGCGGACCGTCTAAATGTTGATAGACTGGCAGTCCTATAAACGAGTTTATACAAGACAGATTAGCACCGAGTGCAATGGGATTTAAAACAGCTTTAAAATATTCTGCCTAACGCTTTATTACATTCTTTTAACTGTATGTTGCTTGTATTTACAATGGAGTTGATTTGAATAGGACTCGTGGACGAAAATCGCATGTATGCCTTCGATAAACTTCCAGTTGTTGCGGTTCACAATAATTGACGAAGATATCACGGAAGATAAATACAAAAAAAAACCTCCTCCATTTTTTGAAGTTGGCTGAAAACTTAATAACAAGAGTGTACAACCAATGCCTGTTGCCAGTGATGACATAATTATGGATCTGAGACGTAGTCTTTACAGCTGGCCGTATGTGGAAGGAGGAAGCGATCTTTATCGCTCAGCAAGCTGTGGAAAGGGTATGCTCAAAGTTTCTCTGCGTAATATACTTATAAAGGAGGATATTCACAGTAGAACCAGAGTAAACAACATAGCTCAACGGATCGGAATGTTTTGGAAAAAAGTCATTCTATCTTAGTCCTCACGACTGAAAACGCATCTGCATGTTAATTGGCAAACGCAGATAGATGTAGATGTTCATTTAATGATAATATATGTAAAATAATAACATTCACGCGTAAACGCTGTCCACTAAATGAGGACTATAATTGATCTGTCACGCCCTTAGAAAGGGTAAGCGAAACACGTGACTTAGGATTATTATTAGACGCTAAACTGACGCTAATGAAAGTCAATTTCATAACCATGTGACTACTGTATGTAAAAAGGCCAGTAAAATGCTGGGTCGCATTGGTACTTTACAATGCATATGTTCGTAGTAAGTTTGAATACGGTGCCATTGTATGGAATCCCTATGAGGAGAAATATATTTTGATGATAGAGAGAATACAGCGCAAATTTGCACGATGACTATATAAGCAGAATTACGGTTATTGCCCCTACCTATATCCGTCCTTATTTGTTACTAGTATGGTGGGCTTGGACACCCTTAAACTTAGGCGGACTATGCAGTTGATAACATTCTACTTAGCAATCATCCATTATAAAATAGATAGCCAGACGATATTAAGCAGAGTAGGGTTATTGGCTCCGAAACAGCTGGGCTATGACGTGGAGGGGTCGGTGGCACCGCGGCGACGGCCGCGCCTTCTATGGCTGCCGCCGGCGCGCTCCAGGTGCGGCGCTCACGCGCCCGCTACTTGCGCTATACGGTTTATTAGAGATATTCTCACACATGATTACGCGCACACACATATGTGTGTTGGGAATAACTCGCTACTTCCCTTACGGTTTGCTCAATAAGACTATTAAACTATATTATATCTAGAAGCTTAAAATTATAGAAATATGGGTTAGTTATTGTGTATATTTTTTAGTGTATGTGTGTGCGCGCTCGCGCGCGCGCACATTTATTTGCTGATAGCTTTAGGCCACTATGTAATAAAGCCCTATTATTTTTTATATCCAATTTTGACATAATGTAATATATTTATTTAATCTTAGATTAGTTAATTTGACAATAACATTTTGCTTACTTTATTTGACATGTAATCTATTTGATATCTAATCCATTTGGCATGTAGTTTTTCATTTTTTATTTAATTTGGACATGTATTTTTAATTTATTTGACCTTTTGACATGTTTCTTGTACTATTACTTATTAGGTATTTAAAACTGTAATTTGTAAATTAGCATGCTGGCGTTTTGAGCATACTATAAGCCAGCATGTACACTGTTTTAAAATAAATATTAAATAAATAAATAAATAATCGTTTGTCACACTTATTTATTTAAAAAAAGTGGCAATAGGCCGGCTATATAGCTCAGAAAAAGTAAAGTCTTTGCAGAAGAAATTTTCTTGAGCTGCAGCCCCATACCAGTAAGCAAATTGTATGACAGTCTTTCATTGGATGGAATGATGAACTTGTAAGCGATACAGGAAATCGATGGATGCAGGTGGCTTATAAATGTGCTTTGTAGCATTCCTTGGCATCCCTTATATTCCCTATGTTCAACAATGAAAATTGCGAACTGTTGTGATGGTGAATGATGACGAAAGAAAACAGTAAACATAATGATTTCTTATATTTACGCGAACACTACACATTTTTAAATAAAACTAATTTTACGGATTTTATCGAGTATATTTACTTTAAAAAAAGTAAACATAAAAATTATAATTAAATAAATAAGTATAGAGTGGCTCCCTACTACATGGATTGACTATCTGGTAAGAGATGCAGGTAGTAGAGGGATGCAGGTTGCTTCTGTACAGTCCTTTGTGACATTCAGCACATCGATCTCTGTTGTATAGTCAGAAATAATATAACTTTTTTGTTAGTGCTTGAAACTGTGATTCATTAAAGTAACACAAAGAATAAACCTTCTTCATTTTACAATTTACAGTCACAAGTTACATGTTTAATTGATATTAGGTACGTTATAAAAATACAGTTAATATTCGAAAAAGCTATCAACCAAAAACTAAAGAGCAATGGATATACTTAAATGACTTGTATAATTATGTAACTAAAAACTCTCATATATAATTTGTCCAAGCTCACAATAATAACAAACTAAATACTCAGAACAATAATAATGTTTTGAGTATACCATTCTCTAACGAAAGCCAAAGAATAAAAGCAAAGAGTATAATAACTATCCTATACAGGAAAGTAAAAGTAAATACTAGAAAAGATTTTTTTTATAGGATAGGGTGATAAACGAGTACACAGTCCACCTGATGGTAAGTGGTTGTTGTGACCCATAGACACATACATCTATCCTCAATAAAGAATCAAATGCAGATGCTTTGTCACCCGTGAGGACTAAGATGGAATGCCTATTTTCCAGTAAAAAGGGTCTCCGGTTCTCTACACTCACCACACGAAACACAGCAGTGTTAAGCTGCTGTTTTACGCTGATATTCTGTGAGAGCGTGATCCTTCCCCGGTCGAGCCGACCCATACGTGCTACAACTCTTTGGTTGTAAAGGCGGCTACTGACATGCCTGCCGCAGGGGCAATCTAGGGAGCACAGCGATCGGGGCAATATCGGAACTGTCTCTACAGACACGCCTGTCGTTCAATATGAGAGTGTACGTCTCTCTGGACGCACGCGTTGAGAATGGCGCCAGTTTTATCGAAATATCAATAAATCGGTATATAGCCTTCGCTCTTTTTTATATAGAATAAGGGTAATAAATGATCACAGTCCACCTGATGGTACGTGGACACTGTGGTCCATAGACACCCACATTTATCTATAAAACAACTAATTAATTAATAACTACAACCATAATATAGTGCTTGTAAGCTGCAGCATAGCTCTGCCACGCTATTTTTAGGCTATCAAAGACAATTAAATATGACTAACTTCACTTGTCATAATTTAATATAACCAATTTATTCTGTGATATAACTTAACTGACTAGTGCTTAGTAACTATAATTTAACTAGTGTTACAAATAGCCAGGATAGTTTTCTAATGATGAGTTTTATTAAATTTAATTATTAAAATTTGTATTTATGTTTACTTATTTAGTTAATGATATTTTATTTATATTCCAGCAATTTTAATACTATTGGAATATTTTCTTTCCCATACTAGCCCTTATGACAAGTTAGGTAATAAATTCCAGTAATGTTCCTTGTAAGTTACAACGTTCAAATAACGTTTTTTCTGCGGTTCTGACTTGTACTCATACGTGTGCTCCGCGCGAAAGTCGCAACGAACTGATTGAAATTGCCTCAATTGCGCTACACACACGATAGCGGCAGGGCCGATCTAGGGAGCAAGGAAGGTCTTGCACTCCTGCCGCCCTGCCGCAGGGCCGACTTAAAAATTTGCCCCTGCTTGCCTACACACATCACAATTAAGGAGGCAATTAAGGGCCATCCTTACTCCTACACCCTAGATTACCCCTGCGGCAGGCATGTCAGTAGCCGCCTTAAATGGTAAGTCTGTGAGTTGTAGGGTTCTATACAGGCGGCTACTGACATGCCTGCCGCAGGGGCAATCTAGGGAGCACAGCGATCGGAGCAATATCGGAGCTGTCTCTACACACACGCCTGCCGTTCAGTATGAGAGAGTACGTCTCGCTGCACGCACGCGTTGAGAATGGCGCCAGTTTTATCGAAATATCAATAAATCGGTATATAGCCTTCGCTCCTTTTTATATAGAATAAGGGTAACAAATGATCACAGTCCACCTGATGGTACTTGGACACTGTGGCCCATAGACACCCACATTTATCAATAAAACAACTAATTAATTAATAACTACAACCATAATATAGTGCTTATAAGCTGCAGCATAGCTCTGCCACGCTATTTTAGGCTATCAAAGACAATTAAATATGACTAACTTCACTAGTCATAATTTAATATAACCAATTAATTCTGTGATATAATTTAACTAACTAGTGCTTAGTAACTATAATTTAACTAGTGTTACAAATAGCCAGGATAGTTTTCTAATGATGAGTTTTATTAAATTTAATTATTAAAATTTGTATTTATAATTACTTATTTAGTTAATGACATTTTATTTATATTCCAGCAATTTTAATACTATTGGAATATTTTCTTTCCCATACTAGCCCTTATGATAAGTTAGGTAACAAATCCCATTAATGTTCCTTGTAAGTTACAACGTTAACAGTGGTAGAGCCACGCGGCAGCTTTTGCTGTCGCACGGATGGGCCGGCTCGAACCAGGGTGGTACCACGACCTCACAGAAAACCAGCGTGAAGTAGAGGTTTACCTCTGCGTTTCGCTTGGTGAGTGCAGGTGGCCGGAGGCCCTTTTTACTAGAAATGAGGCATTCCATCTTAGTCCTCACGGGTGACAACGCATCTACATTTTGATTTGGAATAGAGGATAGATGTAGATGTCTATGGGCCGCAGCAACCACTTACCATCAGGTGGACTGTGTGCTCGTTTGTCACCCTTATTCTATAAAAAAAAAACGTTCAAATAACGTTTTTTCTGCGGTTCTGACTTGTACTCATACGTGTGCTCCGCGCGAAAGTCGCAACGAACTGATTGAAATTGCCCCAATTGCGCTACACACGCGACAGCGGCAGTGCCGATCTAGGGAGCAAGGAAGGTCTTGCGCTCCTGCCGCCCTGTCGCAGGGCCGACTTAATAAATTGCCCCTGCTTGCCTACACACATCACAATTAAGGAGGCAATTAAGGGTCATCCCCACTCCTACACCCTAGATTGCCCCTGCGGCAGGCATTACGAACCGCCTTACGAAGTATATTATAGAGATGAATCGTACTAGGTAAATTATGTACTAGGTGCACTTAGTCCAATTCCGTACAAATACTCGTACCAAATACCTGTTCCACCTAGTCCATGAAGCACGTATAGTTTGGTATTGTTGGAATAGTATACACTTTAAAGTACTCTTAGTTTTTACGTACAGCTGATCCCGATACGTGAAGGTAATGAATAGTAATCAATCGTCTATTCATACTTTACACAGAATATGACTTGTCAACGTTAAGATTTATCTACATTCTAGACTGTTGGCGTAGGTATTTAAAAGATTACAATTCATTTCTTATTTAAGACTAATCCGATGTTTGTCTTTTTTTCGTTATTTATATTATTATTTTTGTTTCGTTTTTTTAATTACCTTCTATCTACAATTATTGTTTTTTCGCGATTTCAAGACTAATTTTTTGCGCTACATACGCGCGTTAAGAGTTTTTAAAACTAACTTATATTTTACAAATGTTACACTCAGGCATTTGTTGGCATTTGTCCGTAAAATGACCCCAAGCGACACTGCTGCAATTTTTTTTAACAATAAACACTTTAATGTCTAATAAAAAAAATGAAAGTTCTTTAACCACATAACGAAACTTCGAAATCATTCAATACGGTGCCGAGATCACATTCGGATGAGTCCGTACTAGACATTCGACTGCATCATATGGTCGCCATTCGTATCGAGTATTTTCTAGATTACTAGTATCTAGTCTATCAAATCTGACTAGTATTTGGTTGAAGTCCCCGACTAGTCCCGAATAGTCTCGAGTATTGACTGACAAAGATAGAAAGACTGCGGAATAGTGTAGTTAAAAAGGACAGAATATATTCTTGCACAACATGAGTGCGCGTCGTGTTACTTTAATACACATTGAAATATATTTCAAATTCAAATGACTGACACACAAATGATTTAGACAAACACGAGTGAGCGGTAAAGCAGACTAGTTAGTAACTATGGCAACAAAATAATATCTCACTTTGCCGCACCGGTACTTCTACTTCTTAGATTCAAGTGGGCCGCTGCATTATGCCGTGCGACGCGTAGGCACAGTGAGATTAGGTGGATCAAGTATTTTACAAGCTGGAACAGGTGCAACCTAGTCTCGTTTAATACCTAGTGCCTAGATCTGTTCTAGTATATACGCTTCATCTCTAGTATATTATGATATCTTTGGTTGTAGGATAATCATAGAGTAATTTATCTAAAAAAGAGTGAGAGCAATGCTTGATTGACTTGATGTGAATGTCTGATGAATCCAATTCGAAGATTTTTTGGAATTTTGGAAGAAGTTACATTTATTTTGTTATGCACCACTCAATAACTATGACTATATTGTAGCTTAAAAGTGTTTTTTTAAGGACTGAGTTGTAACCAGCTTCATTTAGGTGTTTTTTGAGAAAAAATAGTGATGGATGTTGACACAGGTAAGATTTTTTTCTACGGATAAAATAACCCCTTCGTTTCAATTTTATGCTGTTCTCGTTTATAATTTATTATATCTAAATATTGATCAAAGGTAATCACAGTATATTTAATGAAGAGAGGCTTCATTGTATAGCTTTCTGTAGTCATAATTTTATTAGGGTTAGGGCCGATTTTTCAATCCTTACATAAAATTTATTCGTAGGATAAGAAACAACAACTGCCTTTTTTCTGTCATTAATTTCAGCCCTTTACGAGTTCATTGCTAAACATAGGCCTCCCCCAAAGGAATGCCACAAAGCATGATCCTAAGCCACCGACATCCATCGACTTCATGCATATCTTATCAGGTCGTTACTTCATTTAGTTGGGGCCTGCCCGAAGCTTCGCCTACCGGTACGAGGATGACACTAGACAACCTTTCTTCCCCATCGGTTGTCGGTTCTTCGAGCTATATGGTTGACCCATTGCTACTTCAGCTTACTAATCTGTTGAGCCATGTTGGATACTCTGTTTTTACTGTGGATATCCTCATTTTTAAGTCTATCACGTTGAGAAACACTGAGCACAGCCCTCTCTAGTTTTCCATATTCCTCTACCATTCAGAAGACAACTTAAACAAATTAAAAATTATTGCTTTAAAATGGCTACTGTTCAAAAGATTTTGTATTATAAATGTATAAAGTTTCAGTGCTTGGAAACTCTTAGTTTTTAAGAAAATTATGAATAAAATTATTATTTTTCTTCATTATTGCTGACACTCATTTGACATGTTGCGATTTGTTGCTGGTTCTGTTGGAGATTTATGAAATTTAAATATTCTTATTTTCACCCAACTGCCCCAGTAGAAGGGTAATGTTTTTCAAGAGTAAGTATGTAATGTTTGTATGTCTTTTTCTTTGCTATGCTCTATAATTTAAACGGATTGATGGATTTTAACATATGACAATTTTAACAGTGGTAGAGCCACGCGGCAGCTTTTGCTGTCGCACGGATGGGCCGGCTAGAACCGGGGTGGTACCACGACCTCACAGAATACCAGCGTGAAGTAGAGGTTTACCTTTGCATTTCACTTGGTGAGTGCAGGTGGCCGGAGGCCCTTTTTACTGGAAATGAGGCATTCCATCTTAATCCTTACGGGTGTCAACGCATCTGCATTAGATGTAGATGTCTATGGGCTGCAGCAACCACTTACCATCAGGTGGGCTGTGTGCTCGTTTGTCATCCTTATCCTATAAAAAAAAAATGAGGTGTTAGATTCTTCATAATTGTAGAAGTGACAAGATATAAAACTTTACTCTTTCCATTAAACTTGTTTACACAGACGGGTTTTTAATTACTGTTTTAATATTGGGACGTGTACTATGCAATTAAAATTGAAAATAACTAATATTGGATTAGTTACAAAATATATATGTTACATTTAACACAATTTCCGGTACTTTTGTACAGCTTGTAAAGTACAGCTTTTGGTACTTTTCGTCGAAAACATTCAAAATTATGTTTATCTAAAAAGTATAGGCGGCATAAGCAGCTATGATTGAAAAAAAGAGTTAGTTAAAAGAAGTTTTGACTGAAATTATTGGTTAAAAGGAGTTATTATCAAGACCGGTAGTAAAAATCACTTTTGACCAGGAGTGTTTAGTAAAAAAAAGTATTTAATATTTTACAAAATTGATTTTAAGACTTACTGATTTTTTACCTGGCTAAACTAGTTTTTCGTAAATGATTTAGTTGGAAAAAGTAATATTAGTGACAGTAGGTATGCCTGCAAAACATTTAATTCATCCTGCGGGGCTTAGGAAAAACTACTTTCCTCCTGGTTCCTGGTGATTGCATCCAAGTGGTTTTTTAAATAAGTTTCGTAAGCAATTTGTACAACTTGTGCTTTTATTGTATAATTTTCAGTTAAAAAATAAGTCCTATTTAGTTTTATGCCTGTGCTTCCCAGGACAGAGGTTTTTCCAAACCAGTGGTACAATAACAATAAAATAATAATTATATAATAATAATAAAAATTACTTGTAATCTATATTGAATAAAAATTATTCTTTTCCATACTTAGTGAACATGGCTAGTTCGGTTTTATTAAGAACTAGCTGTTCCCCGCGGCTTCGCCCGTGTGGAATTAACTATGATTTCATGGGTTTCTTTATCTAAAATAAAAGTATACTAAGTTACTCCTTATAACATCAGCATCAAACCAGTGAAAGTCCCGTCAAAATCGGTCTAGCCGTTTCAGAGATTAGCCAGAACAGACAGACGGACAAAAATTTTAAAAATTGTTTTTTGTTATTAGAACCCTTTATACTTTCATATGCATTTAGTAAAAAGCAGTTATTTTAACATTACAAACAGACACTTTAATTTTATTTATTTGTATAAATGTATAGACTAGCTGTTCCCCACGACTTCCACGTAATTTAGGGTTTTAATTTTGTTGCACAGAACCCTAATTATTTTTTAAAATATAAGTACCCTAAGTTATTCCTTATAACATGAACTATCTACCAGTGAAAGTCCTGTCAAAATAGATTAGTCAGAACAAACAGACAGACAGACAGACAAAAATTTTAAATATTGTGTTTGTGTTATAAGTACCATATATACTTTCATATGCAATTAGTAAAAAGCTGTTATTTTGAAATAGTATGTGGTGTTATTGTAAATTTGTTCCCTTTGTATTAGACATAGACATAGACAGACATGCATTTATTCAGCAACATACACTCATACAGTTTTGATACAGAAAATAAAATAATATATAAAAACATCAAAGATAACAGTAAATAACAAAAAACAGTCATAAAATGATCCGATTGCATGAGTGATGTGATGCTGAAAAGGGCACTGACTCAACGTAATGCTATCGCAGGATTGCGGTAGCGTTGGTTTTCAGCAATGCCCATTGAGGTTGGACTCGCCTGCGAGGATAGTATGTTCACTTTATTTCTATTTTCGAGAAAGATGTTGTCAAAATAATAAAATAAAATAATGGAAACAAAAAAGGATGGGAACTTTATTTAGGCAGTAGGTATATATAAATGTATATATACCTACTATATAAATATACAATAAATATTTATATTATATAAATATATAATATACCTACTATATAAATGTATATAATAAATAATATAATGAGTATATACAATAAAACAATATAGATATTTATATAATACTATGAAAATATAATGCAGCTATTTTATCCACCCTAAATGTTAAAGTGACAAAAATATTCTTTTACTTTTACCTTGAAAAGGCTGATGGTATTAGATACTTACATATGAAATTGGTGTTTTGTACGGGAGCAATATAAAGTCAATGTTTTTTTGTAAAATATATTTAATTAATCAAAGTATGCACCGTTGTTATCTATGCACTTTTGCCATCTCATAGGTAGTTCATTGATCCCTTTAGTAAAAAAACCATGGGTGTGAGAATCGATAAACTCTTTGAAGGCGGTTTGGACTGCCGCATCTGAGTTGAATTTTTTTCCTTATATGAAGTTGTCCAAATACCGGAAAAAATGGTAATCTGTTGGAGCAAGATCCGGGGAGTATGGTGGATGCCGCAGATATTCCAATTGTAGCTCATCTAACTTAGTGGTTGTTTGTTGTGCAGTGTCTGGTCTTGCATTATTGTGAAGCAGCAGTGGTCTAGAGCGATTGAACAATGTCTGTTGTTTAGCAGCTAGTTCTTCCTTCATCCTTTGCAGTTGCTGACAATAGATATCTGCCGTAATCGTTTGGCCAGATTTTAGAAAGTTGTAGTGAACGACACCGGCGCTAGTCTACCAAACACTCATAAGTTACTTTTTCGGAGTCAATTTTCGTTTAGGGCAGGATTTATTTGGCTGGGTCTCCAGGGTTCAGCCACTGCGACGAACGCTTCCGATTATCCTACAGTATCCACTTTTCATCACAAGTAATGATTTAAAATCCCTTGATTATTGTGTCGGTTGAGCAAAGTAACACAGCAGTCGACGCGTGTTTGCAAATTCGATTCACTCAATTCATGAGGTACCCTTCGTACAAGTTTTTTTACTTTCCCGATTAGCTTCAAGTGGATTAATACAGTTTTATCACTTACCTCGAAGCCTGCAGCTATCTCTGAAGTGCTTTGTGATGGATCCGCTTCCACAATAGCCTTTAATTCTTCATTTTCCACTTTGGTCTCTGGCTGTCCACGGGGTTGGTTCTGAAGGTCGAAATTTCCAGTACGAAACAGTTGAAACCAAAAACGTACCGTGCTTTCTTTTGCGACAACAGCGCCGTACACATCATTAATCCTTCGAGCTGTTTCTGTAGCACTGGTGCCACGGTAGAACTTGTAAATATACCGATATTTCATGTTTTCCATTAATAAGGTAATAAGCGACGCCAAAGAAAAAAATAATGAGGAAAAAATAAATGAATGACTGTTTTCAAAACGCAAATGTGCCAGCTAAATGAATTTATGAATTTGAATTTGGAATTCTTAACCAAAGAGGAGATATTGCAGATCAAAATGGTCAGTATGACTAAACGCTAATTTCATATGTAACGACTTAATATTTATTCAAGTTTTAATAGGAATTTGTTGCAAACCTTTTGACATGCAGTAGTAGTAAATGTTTATTATATGCATGAGTAGTTCACCATATTTTCTCAGCTTTGATTACATGTTTAAAATATATTATTGGCTCTGTGACTCAGTGGCTTAGCAGTGCTGAGATCCGGGGGTTCGAATCCGTTCGAATAATTGTTCCGGGTCTGAATGTTTGTCCTTGTGTAATTTATGTATGTAAACTGCCCCCACAATACAGGAGAAAATCTTAATGTAGATGTAACATTTTTTTTTAACAAAATTAAGTCTTGTGAAAATACTAGATGGCTTATTTATTAAGGCATAAATAAGAATTATTAACATTTTTTGTTCTTTGCAGATGGAAGAAAGTCGCGTTCGCGTAGCAGATCTGTAAGTACCTTTATATTTTTAGTCGAGGAGATTTGTTTCCACTTGGGTCCACTACAGTTCAATCATTATCTACCGATATCCAAAGAATTTTCTTTTGTCAATTCACCTGTGTATGGATCTTAAAGTATATTTCTCTATGCCAACTTGATTCTTGCCCTAGAACACTCTTAGGCCCGTATTAATAAACGTTACTCAACGACGAATTCAAGTGCGTAATCATTTGATACGCCCTCATTACGATATCAGCATCTCAATATCGTTGCTAATTAATTAACACATAAAAACAGTATCTCAAAACACTACTTAGGAATACTGTTCTGTGACTTCTGACGACTTTCTTTGACTCTCAAGCGTGTGTACACACACTTGAGAGTCGAGTTTCGTTTATTACTCGGTGTGGTATTCAGCTGCTACCGTAAACCTAAACCGCATATTGATCTCAATATGCGGTTTAGGTTTACGATATAATGCTTATTAATAAGATCATAACCTCAATATGGTATATACTCAAGTGCGTGTACTTGAGCTGAGTAACCTTTATTAATACGGGCCTTAGAATGAGAGGAGGACAGTGCCAAGCTGTGGTATCATCACTTTACTTTTATTTCGGTCCACCAATGTCAGGATCAATTTTTTTTTCTAGTTAATCTTTTGAAATTTATTTTATTATTATCTGGACATTTTTATATTACATTAAATTAAATAAAAGCTAACATTCACCAAATGTAAACGAAAAAATATTGAAAAATTGTGTAGTAAAAATTTATTTAAAATTTTCATGCCTGGATTGAGCAGAATGTAATGGAACTTATATGTTTTAATACTAATTTAGTAACGCATAATACATAAGAAAAAATAAATACTTTTATATTAAATTTCGAACAAGAAGTGTGGGGTAAGAATTAAAGCTATTTTGGTGATAATAAAATTATGTGCAAGTGTACCGGAATCAGATAGTTATTAAAAGGTTTGTGTTATTTTTTCAATTGTTAGTACATAACAATATTGATTTAGGGATTTAATAAAAATAATAAGTTATGATTTTACGAATACAGTAGAGCCTCGATAATTCGAAACCCAGATGATCCAAACGCCTCTATAGTCCGAACGACCTCCTACTCGTGCAAGCCGCTGTCTCATAGAATATCGTAGTGCCGATCACAAGATCTGCGGTCGATTGACGAAAATTTCACTGTTTTCTACATGCATTTTATACGTGGTAGAGCCATGCTGCATCTATATTATGGTTGTAGCACGAATGGGTCGGCTCGACCGGGGAAGGACCACGCTCTCACAGAATACCAGCGTAAAATAGCAGCTTAACGCTGCAGTGTTTCGTATGGTGAGTGTAGAGAACCGGAGACCCTTTTTACTGGAAACGAGGCATTCCATCTTAGTCCTCACGGGTGACAACGCATCTGCATTTTGACTTTTAATCGAAGATAGATGTAGATGTCTATGGGCCACAGCGACCACTTACCATCAGGCGGACTGTGTGCTCGTTTGTCACCCTTATCCTATAAAAAAAAATGCCGCCTAATTGTACAGCCTTTTTTTATTTTTTTTTATGGAATGAATCAAAACGTAATCCAGAACATGAAAGTGATATCCAAAAAAAAAATACATTACTCATTAATTGAATGTACATTATCTGAAATTCTTAAAAAACACCATGGATGGTGCTGTATTTGCTCTAAGCTCAATGTTGGCACAACAAGTGTCCTTAAATTTGATAAAAAAAACACGCGTGAGTGTTGTGGAACACTCCGTTGGACCAAAGTGCCTTTCGTAGTATTTTTTTAAATACTTGTAATGCTATTAAACATTACTAATATTCCCTTTAACCACTTCAGGTAAGCTTAAAATGCTTGTGTTCGAAGTAGTTCACGACAGTAGTCGAATGACGGATTCGAACTCACGACCTTTCGATTTCGCGGTCCGTGCCCTGGCATTAGGCTACTAACACTTCTAATATATTATTATTGATAAACGTATTATATTATACTAGCTGGCCAGGCAGACGTTGTTCTGCCCTCTCCGACGACCCTGTGTGTGTATAGGGATAAAAATTATCCTATCTCTCAAGTTGGACCAAACTGCACACAGTATGGAAAATTTCATTGTAATCAGTGTAGTAGTTTAGGAGTTCATCGCGGACAAACAATGTGACACGTAATTTTTATATATAAAGATATATATGATTAACAAATACAAATAAATGAATTACTAGCGACTATTAAAATGAACCCGTGTAGTGGCGGGTAAGAATACGCACTACCCCATATCTTCCCGTGGGTATCGTAAGAGGTGGCAGAGGGAAACAATAAAAAAACTGCGGTTGCAAACCCGCTCGCCAAGCGTGGCAACTATGGCAATATACCCCCCAATGTTTAAAGTTACAAGATACGGCTCTCAGTCCCCGGCGGCCCCGCTATTTCTTGCAGCTGTATACATCATCGTTGGAGCCACACGCAAGTGTGAGTAACGATCCAAGAGGAAGTTTTATCCGAAACTATTCCGATGATATTTCGGACGTCAGTCTTAGCGAGATTAGAATGGCTCTCCAGCGCCTTAAAAACGACAAGGCCCTAGGCGAGGATGTAATTACAGCGGAGCTTCTGTAAGCGGGTGGAAAACCGGTACTTGAAGTCCTTCAGAAGCTCTTTAATTCTGTCCTCCATGGTGGCACTACACCGGAGGCGTGGAGCAGAAGTGCGGTGGTCTTGTTCCTCAAGAAAGGCTGTAACGCTCTCTTGAAGAAATACTTATATAATTATTTATTACTTATATTATAGATTTTTGTCAGTTCGATGCAGTTCCCCGTTGAAACGCACGTTTAAAAATGAACAATAAAATTTTTTAATTTACCTGATACTACGGCTGCGGTGTGATAGACGGACGTATCAAAAGATGTAATGAACAATGGATTCACTAATTTACAACCTTGAGGAATATAAAACATCAAAGGCTGCGAAAATGCAGTAAAAAGTTTTTCGGATATTACAGAATGACTATAAAATCATTCGATAATAATTTACTACGACTCGTTGGTTGGGCTGTTACGTATCAAGATACGCGAAACGCGCACACAAAATATTCGCGCGGAAATAAATCGCACCGCGTCGCGTTCAATTTGCATCAAATCACAGATTTTTTTCCCGCGCGATTTTTTTACCGCCAGTGCGGCTACTCCTACAAGATTCTATGTGTTACAGAATTGCGAGAAAAAATCGCGCGGTGAAATATTGCAGTGCGACAGGGCCTAAGATTATTATTATAGTTCAGTGTCAAATATTAATATTCTTATGTCAATAATTATATAATTAATGGCAAATATAAATGTTAAATATCCAATTGTCATTAATTTATTTCAATATTACTAATTACTAATTATATAGCCTTAGTTTGGAGCCGATGTTAAAATAAATTAAAACTTAGCAAAAGGAACACTGTTTAATGTAATGTTAATGTTACATGTAGTAGTAATTTTACATGAATTGTAATGCAATAACTTTAGGATAGTAATTTCAATTTGATTTTTATTCGTGCCAACTGTTTTTATGTTTGTGCTACATGTTAAAAAATGTGAATTGTTTTATTCACCAGGAGGGCTCAGAGTCGAAGATGTCCCACGATGGATCTGCACACTCGAGGTCTAGATCTAGATCTAAATCAGGATCACGTTCGCGTTCGCGCTCTAAATCTAGTTCCCGTTCTAGAAGTGGTTCGCGTGCTTCCTCGCGCTCGGCATCACGAAGTTCCGCTCGTTCAAGGAGTGGCTCACCTGCAAAAGACAGGTCCCGTAGCGGTTCACCAGCTCGATCCAGATCTCACAGTGGTTCGCCTGCTAAATCTAGATCTAGAAGCGGCTCACCTGCAAGATCGGGCAGTGGTTCACCTGCTAAGTCTAGATCGAGGAGTGGTTCACCAGCTAAATCAAGGTCAAGGAGTGGTTCACCAGCCAAATCGAGATCCAGAAGTGGTTCACCAGCTAAATCGAGATCCAGGAGTGGTTCACCAGCCAAATCGAGATCCAGGAGTGGTTCACCAGCCAAATCGAGATCGAGGAGTGGTTCAGTAGCCAAATCTAGGTCTAGGAGTAGAAGTGGTTCACCGGCCAAGTCTAGATCCAGGAGTGGTTCGCCAGCCAAGTCTAGATCAAGGAGTGGCTCACCAGCTAAATCTCGATCTCGAAGTGGATCACCAGCTAAGTCAAGATCGCGAAGTGGATCGCCGGCTAAGTCAAGGTCGCGAAGTGGATCACCAGCTAAGTCAAGATCACGAAGTGGATCACGTAATAAATCTAGGTCGCGGAGTGGGTCACCAGCAAAGTCTAGATCCCGAAGTGGTTCACCAGCAAAGTCTAGATCCAGAAGTGGCTCTCACAAATCAAGATCACGTAGTAGATCGAGGTCAAGAAGTGGTTCCGCGGCAAAGTCGCGATCGCGAAGTGGATCCCGTGCAAAGTCTAAATCAAGATCGCGAAGCAGATCAGGTAGTGGGTCCCCAAGAAAGTCGCGATCCAGGAGCGGTTCCGCCGTAAAATCCCCGTCAACGTCTAGAAAGTCCAAGTCGCGAAGTCGTTCTCGGAGCAAATCGCGAGAGAAGTCAAAATCTAGAAGTCGATCGCCAGGCGACGTTCGTGCTAGAAGCAAATCTCCTGAGAATATGGACGAGGACGGCGAAGAAGTAATCCGCGGTGAGTCTAGAAAATGTTTTAAAAAAAAGGTCATTGTTTTGACTGCTTCATGGCGCAGTGGCTTAGCAACTATTTGTGGCGCTATTTGTATGGCCCAAAAATAATTGTTCCGGGTCTGGAATGGATGTTTATCCTTGTGCAATTCATGCTTGCATGTTTGCAAAATGATAAAAGAATGTTCTATACTCTTAGTGAAAAATGTATTTTTTGTTGTTGTTATTTTTTCTTATATACTTATCATCAATGTTTAAGTAATAATGTTTTTTTTTTACATTTCAGGACGCAAGAGAAAAGTTTCCGTACGTTCCGACTCTGGTTCGCGATCTCCTTCAAAATCTCGCGCCAAACGCCTGAAATCCCATTCCAAATCTCGCTCACGTTCGCGTTCGAAATCAGGGTCCCGATCGCCTTCGCGATCGCGCAATCGTTCTCGTTCAAGGTCAAGATCCGGGTCGAAGTCGCGCTCGCGCTCGAAGTCCGTGGCAAAGTCCCGGTCGCGCTCCAAATCGCGTTCAAAGTCCCGTTCGCGGTCACGTTCCGGCTCAGCTAAGTCTGGTTCTAGGTGAGTGAATTTTTATACAAATACAAGTAAATGTATAATTGGGTTACCGTGTTGTGACGTTGTAAGAATATCCACTACCCCATATCGTCTCGTCGTAAGAGGCGACAGAGGCAAACAAATCAGGAGATAGGCAACAGCGTCAGCCTAGTAATGACTAAAAATAAAAACTACTTATGTAGTACTTTAAATTTAGTTTAAGTTAACGTTAATTTCAATTTTATGTAAATAAAAGTATAATGTAAAATAATATATTAGAGCAAACTGTGCAGTGTCAAGACAAACACAATTGTGTTTAATGGCATGAAGAAATTATATTATAATTAAAACAGTTACTTTGTTGAAATAAATAAAAAAAATGCGATTGCCAACCTATTTGCCAAGCATGGCAACTATGGCAAATATCCTCCTATTAGTAGGTCTATGGGGGTGGCCTATGTACAACAGAGGACTATAATAGGCTGTAACGGTAACGACATAATTTGGCTAGGAAAAAATTAAAAATACAAATAAAACTTAATTCAACTAGGTGGTAGGACTTGTTTTCTGTCTGGGAACCTATTTATGCATGCAGCATCCTCGTTTTATTCCGGTTTGAAGGGTAGGAGAACGAGATTAATTAAATGATTTGAGACCTCCATCTTAGTCCTCAGGGGTGGCTATACCTAATTTATTTAAAGTTGGTTATTCATGTAAATGGGTACAATAGTCACTATCAAGTAGACTGTTAGCTTTTTTATCACTTTAATAATATTTCAAGACAAGTGTCTAGGTATTCTTTGACATGCAATGCTTTTTTAGTTTATAAAAAAGTTTTATTTTTATAGAATAAGGGTGACAAACGAGCACACAGTCCACCTGATGCTAAGTGAATTCTGTGGCCGGGCGGTACGGGTCATTCCCACTTCATCAACCAGTAAAGATCCGTGCGAGATTTGACATAATCGGCACGCTACAAGTGTTTAATCCCTACATTATATAGAAAAAAATTCTAAGTATCTACGTGGTAGAGCCACGCTCAACCAGGGAAAGACCACGCGCTCACAGAGTATCAGTGTAACGCTGCTGTATTTCGTATGGTTCCTCTTCCTTTCGTATGGTAATCCCTACACTGGAGACCCTTTTTAACTTAGACCTCAGGGGTGACATTGCATCTGCATTTTGATTCTAAATCGGGAATAAATGTATCAGCCTCAGTATCCCTTCATCCATAAGGTGAACTGGTGCTCGTTTGTCATCCTAACTCTATAAAAAAACAAGGCTTTATGTTTGTCCACGCCGAGCGTTTTACTCCGTCGCACGCTCGCCAGTCAGCTTCTACATTTAAATTAAATATAAAATCTTCATTCCTTTTTTCGCAGATCACGTTCTCGTTCGGGGTCTGGTTCCCCATCACGCAGAGGTATGTATGTTATTTACGCATTTTGCTGTCTGAATTACAAAGATACTTTCATTTGGTGATTTTATTATTAAATATCAACTATAAAATTTCTTTAAATTTTAAATTACCTGTCTTAACTCTAATCATCTACAAAAACAAATTACTAATTTGTTTTAGTAGATAAAAATTAGTGTGAGTTTATGGGCTATGAGCTGCAGCATCCAATTACGATCAGGTGTACTCTGTGCTCGGTTATCAAAAAAATGTCCAGTTGCAGGTCTTTGGGTTGATAATTAATAAACATGTAGCTCACTAAAAGAAGTTTTGTTTATATTTTTTATTTTATAGGCCTGATTACAGGCTCGTGAAGTGAGGGTTCTAATTATTTCTTTCAGTCGAAAAGAAACGTCGTACAGTTCGGCTGCAATCAGATGACGAGGGTGAGGGAGAAGAAAATCAGGCTCGTGATGGAGAAGGCGAGACGAAAGTAGACGATGCAGAAGCGAAACAGGCAGAACAGACTGCACAAGACTCCTCCGATGATGAAATCGCTCCGGATTCTAAAACGTATGTCATTTTCGTCAATTTCGATTACCTTACGGTTTTTGTGTTCTCTGATTATTAAACGTAATCTGTCCTATTCTATTTTATTCCAGCGCGGAAGCCATGGGTGGCATGTCGGACTTTGAGATTATGTTGGCGCGTAAGCGTGAAGAAAGACGTGGGCGACGACGACGAAGGGATATCGACATAATCAACGACAACGACGATCTCATCGCTCAGCTGCTGCAGCAAATGCGCCAGGCAGCAGAACAGGACCGCGAACTGAACCGTCGCAATCAACCCGCAGTACGCAAGGTATATATGAATATTATAGCATGTAACATTTACAGCAAACCGATTAACATTGTTATTTAGAACGTAAAATTAAATTGTATTCAGATCTTTACGTGGTAGAGCCACGCTGCAGCGTATTTTATCGTATTAGCACGAAAGGGTTGGCACGACTGGGGAAGGACCACGCTCTCACAGAGTATCAGCGTGAAATAACAGATCGATGCTACTGTGTTTCGTACAGTGAGTGTAGAGAACCGGAGACTTTTTATATTAGACATTCCATCTTAATCATCAGGGCTGGCAACGCATCTGTATTTTGATTCTTAGTCGGGGATAAATGTAGTTGTTTGTGGTCCACAGTATCCACTTACCATTAGGTGGACTGTGTGCTCATTTATCACGCTTATTCTCGGCTAGCATCAAGTGGTGCCAGTAACAGATAAAACACGTAATGGTAAAAAGATTATGACTATTCTCTCTAAATTTCAATCAAGTCACAATAAATGACATAACTAAATAGATTTATAGAATCTATGCCACTGGTTGCAGGTGTCGATGCTGAAGTCGGCCATGTCACAGCTGATCAAGAAAGACCTTCAGCTTGCGTTCCTGGAACACAACGTTTTGAATGTGTTGTGCGATTGGTTGGCGCCCATGCCCAACCGGGCACTTCCCTGTCTGCTTATCCGCGAGAGTATCCTCAAGTTGCTGATGGACGTGAGTGAACGACTAATTGAGTAATTTAGACAGGTTGCAAATAAATCGCTTTGATCCGGCTCGAAGGACCATATGTTTTGTTAATAAAGTTACCTTTACTTTGTTAAAATTGCATTTATTTAAATAAGATTTAATCTTAATATTTATTTGTTTGTGATTTTCTCAAAATTATTAAGTGATTACGTGGATGATTTAGATATGTATGCACCTTGGTATGTTAATGTATATAAGTTTATATAACTTAGATATTAACATACAAAACTTCATTATTTTAGTCTTTACGGCTCTCATTGTAGTTGATTTACTATATAATTTTTTTCCTTTTGTAGTTTCCCTCAATCGATAAATCGCTTCTAAAGCAATCTGGTATCGGTAAGGCGGTCATGTACCTGTACAAGCACCCAAAGGAAACGAAGGCGAACAGGGAACGTGCTGGACGACTCATTTCTGAATGGGCCAGACCCATATTCAATCTATCAACTGACTTCAAAGGTGAGTATTTTATCTTTATAGTCATTTATAGTCTTCTTGTTTATAATGAGAGCCGTGGTAGCTCAGGGGCTTAAGGTGGCACAAGTCGCGGGCTCGAACTCGCTGGTGGGCGCAGCCAAAAAGCACGCTGTCTCACCTGGCATCGTGCCCGGCAGAGATAGTATTAGTGATGAGCATATCGACACTAGTATTCACGCACGTCTTGTTCGTACGGCGTTCCGAACCGTTAGAATAAAAAAGAAGTTACACGAACATGATGCAACATCTATACTATAATATAATAAAGCAGAAGAGTGTTTTTTGGTGTTTTTGTTTGTTTAAACGTGCTAATATCTGGAACTACCAGTCCGATTTGAAAAATCTTTTTTTGGATATTATAGCCAGATTCATGTTGAATAGTATAGGCTATATAGCATTAGGCTATATATCTCAGCTAGCCTATATTTGTTAAGCAAGTCAGAAGAAAAAGCGCTCCCAAAATGATTTATCCGCGTACGCTGGTGTTAAAAACCTACTACTGGTTTGGGATCCGTAAATACAATGTTCTAGAAAAATATAGATCTCTACTTCGTTTAAAAAAAAAGTCCGCGATACCATATGTCTATTTCTTATATATAAGTCACAATTAGGCATTTTGTGACAAAAAAATTAAAATTTAATTATTAGGCATGGCATATTTATCATGGCATATCCTTACGAACGAAATTTACTTCATTATCAAGACAATTTTATGAAGATAAACTTCGTTCTTTATACCATGTTTATATAGTACATAGTTTAAGAGATAGTGTATAATTAAAATAATTCAATACTTGGCTCGACGCGCAAACAACGCATAACCCCTAGCCCGGTGCGAACTGAGAAGCCAGTATTGAAGGTTTCTATGAGCGAGGTTAGGTTAGCCGTTAGTTCAATCGTTATCTATATCTACACAAATAAATAAAATTGAAGTGTCTGTTTGTAATGTCAAAATAACAGCTTTTTACTAATTGCATATGAAATTGTATACGGTACTTATAACATTAACAGAATTTTTAACATTTTTGTATGTCTGCCAGTCTGTTTGTTCCGGTTAATTTCCAAAACGGCTGGACCGATTTTGACGGGACTTTTACTATTAGATAGCTCATGTTATAAGAAGTAACTTAGACTGCTTAAATTTTAGAAAAATGATTAGGTGTCCGTGCAACAAAATTAACGCCCTAAACTAAACGCGGACGAAGTCGCGGGGAACAGAATTTTTTAATGTAGTTTAAATACATTTCGACAGCACTATCGGCTTCAACACCCTCGAAAACCATGAAAATGACACCCATGATGAAAAATTTATACCTATTGCAGCCGCCATCTTGGATTTACATTTCGGCAACCCTATCGGCTTCAACTCTCTCAAAAACCATGAAAATGTCACCCATGATGAAAAAATTAATACCTATTGCAGCCGCCATCTTGGATTTACATTTCGACAGCACTATCGGCTTCAACACCCACGAGAACCATGAAAATGACACCCATGATGAAAAATTGGTACCTACTTCAGCCGCCATCTTGGATTTACATTTCGACAGCACTATCGGCTTCAACACCCTCGAAAACCATGAAAATGACACCCATGATGAAAAAATTGGTACCTACTTCAGCCGCCATCTTGGATTTACATTTCAACAGCACTATCGGCTTCAACACCCTCGAAAACCATGAAAATGACACCCATGATGAAAAATTGGTACTTACTTCAGCCACCATCTTGGATTTACATTTCGACAGCACTATCGGCTTCAGCACCCTCGAAACCCATGAAAGTGACACCCATGATGAAAAAATTGGTACCTAATTCAGCCGCCATCTTGGATTTACATTTCGACATCACTATCAGCTTCAACACCCTCGAAAACCATGAAAATGTCACCGATTATGAAAAAATTTATACCTATTGCAGCCGCCACCTTGGATTTACATTTCGACAGCACTATCGGCTTCAGCACCCTCGAAAACTATGAAAATGACTCCCATGATGAAAAAATTGATACCTATTGCAGCCGTCATCTTGGATTTACATTTCGACAACCCTATCGGCTTCAACTCTCTCCAAAACCATGAAAATGACACCCATGATGAAAAAATTCATACCTTTTGCTGCCGCCATCTTGGATTTACATTTCGACAGCACTATCGGCTTCAGCACCCTCGAAAACCATGAAAATGACACCCATGATGAAAAAATTGGTACCTATTTCAGCCGCCATCTTGGATTTACATTTCGACAGCACTATCGGCTTCAACACCCTCGAAAAACATGAAAATGACACCCATGATGAAAAAATTGGTACCTATTTCAGCCGCCATCTTGGATTTACATTTCGACAGCACTATCGGCTTCAACACCCTCGAAAACCATGAAAATGACACCCATGATGAAAAAATTGGTACCTACTTCAGCCGCCATCTTGGATTTACATTTCGACAGCACTATCGGCTTCAACACCCTCGAAACCCATGAAAGTGACACCCATGATGAAAAAATTGGTACCTAATTCAGCCGCCATCTTGGATTTACATTTCGACATCACTATCAGCTTCAACACCCTCGAAAACCATGAAAATGTCACCGATTATGAAAAAATTTATACCTATTGCAGCCGCCACCTTGGATTTACATTTCGACAGCACTATCGGCTTCAGCACCCTCGAAAACCATGAAAATGACTCCCATGATGAAAAAATTGATACCTATTGCAGCCGTCATCTTGGATTTACATTTCGACAACCCTATCGGCTTCAACTCTCTCCAAAACCATGAAAATGACACCCATGATAAAAAATTCATACCTTTTGCTGCCGCCATCTTGGATTTACATTTCGACAGCACTATCGGCTTCAGCACCCTCGAAAACCATGAAAATGACACCCAAGATGAAAAAATTGATATCTATTGCAGCCGCCATCTTGGATTTACATTTCGACAGCACTATCGGCTTCAATACCCTCGAAAACTATGAAAATGACACCCATGATGAAAAAATTGGTACCTAATTCAGCCGCCATCTTGGATTTACATTTCGACAGTATGGAGTGTAGAGTACAAGGAGAACCATCTTATAAGGGGCGAAAGTTGAAAAAGTGTACTACTATTTACTGAAAATAGAGGTTCCAAAACCTACCACATTAGCGCTGGCGTCTGAAAAACTACGATATGAATATAGGTGTTGTAGACGGAGTGAAGTCAGCTGAATTCAAATAAAAGCTTTTACAAAAATTTACTTCGCAAATATCCGCGTTATAAATTAAAATGATGTGTCTTACCTAGTATGAAGAAGCACCTCCCGCCCTCCCTCAATTGCGTGCACTATCCCCGTCACCACTAATCCCAGCACCGCTACTTCCAACACCACTACACTAGGCAAGACACACCACTGACGATAATACGACACGTGTTTCGCCTCTACACGAGGCATCCTCAGGTGATATAGACTCTACGGTGGCTAACCGCTAAGGACTTAGCGGTGCTGGGATTAGTGGTGACGGGGATAGTGCACGCAATTGAGGGAGGGCGGGAGGTGCTTCTTCATACTAGGTAAGACACATCATTTTATTTTATAACGCGGATATTTGCGAAGTAAATTTTTGTAAAAGCTTTTATATAATGGATTTCCGCAAAGTAACGCCTGATTCTATTAATTGAATTCAAATATTTGAAAAATTTCTTGACTAGAGTAGTTAATAAAATGCCAGTATACAAAACCTCAATTCAACTATTTACGTAGTACAAAACCAAGCGGATTGGTCGGTGCTTGTTTATTTCTCTATCATAATATTCTAATTAATTTTGGCGCTTTTTTTTAATTTATCATATGCTACTGCAGCGCCACCGTTATTGGACGGCTTTTTAGGGACACTTCTTATATAGAGATGGTCCTCCTTCTCTCTACACTACATATTCGACAGCACTATCAGCTTCAGCACCCTCGAAACCCATGAAAGTGACACCCATGATGAAAAAATTGGTACCTAATTCAGCCGCCATCTTGGATTTACATTTCGACATCACTATCAGCTTCAACACCCTCGAAAACCATGAAAATGTCACCGATTATGAAAAAATTTATACCTATTGCAGCCGCCACCTTGGATTTACATTTCGACAGCACTATCGGCTTCAGCACCCTCGAAAACTATGAAAATGACTCCCATGATGAAAAAATTGATACCTATTGCAGCCGTCATCTTGGATTTACATTTCGACAACCCTATCGGCTTCAACTCTCTCCAAAACCATGAAAATGACACCCATGATGAAAAAATTCATACCTTTTGCTGCCGCCATCTTGGATTTACATTTCGACAGCACTATCGGCTTCAGCACCCTCGAAAACCATGAAAATGACACCCAAGATGAAAAAATTGGTACCTATTTCAGCCGCCATCTTGGATTTACATTTCGACAGCACTATCGGCTTCAACACCCTCGAAAACCATGAAAATGACACCCATGATGAAAAAATTGGTACCTAATTCAGCCGCCATCTTGGATTTACATTTCGACATCACTATCAGCTTCAACACCCTCGAAAACCATGAGAATGACACCCATGATGAAAAAATTGATATCTATTGCAGCCGCCATCTTGGATTTACATTTCGACAACCCTATCGGTTTCAACACCCTCGAAAACCATGAAAATGTCACCCATGACAAAAATTTATACTACTTACTTTTAGTACGTACTACTGTTATTTATTCTTTTAAAATATTGTATTTAAAAAAAAATCTCTTATTATTATTATAATCAAGTATTTAAGAAATTTGGTTATTCGAATATTGTGTATTTATACAGCGATCTTTTTAAGCCGCTGCAAACAACCGAAACAATGTCCACTCACGACGCGACGGCGATTGACGCCAAACTGAGTGTGTGTCTCTAGTATATATACAGTAATCTATGCGAGTGTGAGTAAACTACTCTGAGGCTGTAGCTCCCCATTTACAGAAATAATTTACA